TAAGGCACTAGATTTCTATTGCTCTCTAATTCTTCCCCCTCGCCTTCACCTTCTTCGCTGCCTGTCATCTCTGGTTCTCCCCCCTCCCTTTCAGAAACCTCTCTGTCTGTCAGAAGGGGACTGTGTTTGACAGTGAGCTACTGCTTGCTGGTCTAACTAGTGAGTTTCTAAGAGCAACAGGCCACTTTCATCTTTGCTTGGCATATAGTCTAGAAGGAAAACTGGAATGAGAACCTCTTCTCCCATGTGTGCTTTAATTGGTTGATCTAATGTGCAACACACACCATCTCCATGGTCCTCATCAAGAAATGCATATAAGGGATGCGGGTGGCGCTATGATCTTAAACCACTGAGCCTCTTGGGCTTGCTGATTGGAAGGTCAGCGATTTGAATCCACATGACAGGGTCCCGGCTTCTGCCAACCTAGCAGTTTGAAAGCACACCAGTGCAAGTAGATGAATAAGTACTGCTGCAGCGGGAAGGTAAATGGTGTTTCCATGGCTTCCATCATGGTGTTCCGTTGCTCCAGAAGCAGTTTAGTCCTGCTAGCCACATGACCCAGAAACACCAGCTCCCTCAGCGCCCCATAGTCGCCTTTGTGGGCTAAATACATTAACTGATTTACCCCATGAAAAAAATTAGATACATTATCCTATATATAAATCATATATGCTAAATTATGCATTAAATATTTACCCCATGAATATCCTAATACAATACAATACAATACAATACAATACAATACAATACAATACAATACAACACAACACAACACAATATCCTAATCCTTATGTACAGTAAACATAATACATAACTGTTTATTGTACATAACATTAGGGGTCCTTTACCTTTTTTTTTTTAACCAACTACAACCTGAGGCTACGATGGAGGGGCTCACAGCATCACCATCACAAGATGGTCTTGCTTCTCCCACAGGCACAGCCTTGGATCAAAACACATTGTGCTCTGCCTCCACCTTTTCCAGCCTGCAACCTCCCGCCTCCACCAGTCACATCACAGCCAACTCAACTCTAATCTCTGGCTTTGTCTCCAAACTGTGAACTGGAGGAGGGGCCCCACCCAATTAACATCTGGCACAGAGCCCCCTCTCCTTGGCTTCCTTAATGGCCCGTTACCTTTACTTTGTTTTCTTAATGTCTTGTCTCCTAACAAAGAAGCTAGTCTGGCTTACCGGTATATTTCAACCCTTGCTGGGTCCAGGAATTTAGGAGAGTCTCACCCCCACAAACTCATAACACTGTATTTGGGGTTTTAGTTGGGCTTTTGATGGGAAGTTTTCCTTCTGCACATGAGTCTGGCAAACCGCTCTAAGCTGAAGCATTCTTTTCTTCACCCACCCTAGAATGTTTAGTTCACATTGAGTTCATGAAACATCGTACCCTGACCTGTTCTTAATGCATGGTTGACCGCATCTACGGAATGTGATAGTTATGTTCTTTTAAGTCTTGCTATATCAATCACTAGTAATAGTTTAATATGAGGTTTTCACGCCTGTCCAATTCTGTGTTCCCTTTCCCAACCTTTAATCTATTGATGATTAATGCCTATATGCAACCCTTGCATTGTATTTGTGTTAACCAATCAGCAACAAGCACATATGTGGCAATGCTGTAATATTCAATAAAAGGGACTCCCCGAGACATGCTTGAGAGATGCCTCCCATATGACACTTGTCATTCGTCTGTCATTTATTTCAACCCAACATCTGGTGACCCCGACGTGCCAGATCCCTTTACGCAGCCACCTCTGTACTTCACTCGACTGGAAAAGTCTCAGCGCGCTACTTCGTGAGTATGGGGGGAGGGCTGACAAAGTTCCAACAGGAGCATGCCAGGGAGCTGCTTCATCTCGTTAGACAACGGGTGGCGGGTGCTCATATTTCTTTGAAAGAAATTGAACAATTGTTATGTGAGATTGCTTGCCAGTGCCCCTGGTACTCAGAGTCCGGCTCTCTGGGATCAGAAGCTTGGCAAAAGATCGGAAAAACCCTCTTCACAGAACCGAGGGCACCGATTCATTGTCTGCTCACTTGGCAGAAATGTGCAGATGCCATCACTAAATTAGGACCACAGGCATCTCTGTCGGCCCCTGCTCTTTTAGCCGAAGCAGACAATCCCCCACCTTACCCAAAGCTTCTGCCTCCATCACAACCTTGCCAACCCCTCCCTACGCCTCAGCCCACATCCACCCCCCATCCCTCCTTCGCCTGTCTCAGCCCCTGCGTGCTCTTCCACAGGAGCTGTGCGCGCCGCGCTTTCTCAAGCTAGGCAGCAAGGGCTCCTCTCCTTAGAGGAAGAGGCTGGATGGGCTGGGGAAATGCCATCTGCTTTCCCTATCTCCTATGCGAACCCCGGCACTGCACAACAGCAGGTTCTGTATGAGGCGCTTCCTTATTCTGTTCTGAGAGAATTAAGTAAAGCCATTACTGATTCTGGCCTCAAATCTTCTTATGTGCTAGGGATGCTGGAGGGGATCGCAAATGGTTACACAATGCTACCTCAAGATTGGAAGGATTTGATGCGCATGCTTTTATCTCCTGCTCAGTATGTGGTTTTTGAAAGTGAATTTAAGCATAGCGCAGCAGCCCTGGCTGATTCACAGCATTCAGCCAGCCAACTCTTTGGCGCTGGTCTGTATGACAATATACCAGCCCAGGCGCAATTGACACCTTTACATTTCAGTCGCACCGTGACCTGTGTACAACGCGCCTTTCGGAAAGTCCCTGTCTCAGGGCAACCACTGAGCTCCTTCGTTAATATTAAGCAACAACATTCGGAGCCTTACCATCAATTTATAGATAGATTGAAAGAATCAGTCACCAGGCAGATTGATGACCCTACAGCTCAAAATGAATTGATGAAAAAATTGGCCTTTGAAAATGCAAACACCGATTGCAAGAAGGCTTTGCAGTCAATCATACATCGCCCCAAATATGACCTGGCCGATATGATTCAAACCTGTGCAGATGTTGGCAGCCAGAACCACGCGATGTCTTTGCTTGCTGGTGCCATCCAGGCTGGCAATAAGCCCACGGGCAATTGCTTCAATTGCAAACGCCCAGGTCATTTTGCTAAACAATGCAGAGCCCCGGGGGGGGGGGGAGCAAACAGGAATGGTGATGCCAATAAGGCTAAACCTTCCAAAAAATGCCCAAAATGCGGAAAAGGCTATCATTGGGCAAATCAGTGCAGGAGTTTGGGAAACTCCATAGGGGCCCAGCTCTCGGGCCAGGACAAATAGAGAGCCCTCCGCCTTTAGTTTCCACTATTGAAAATTTTTCTAAGGAACCATAAGGAGACTGTATGTTTGGAACGTAGGGGGGGGGGTGGAGGAAAAAACTCTTTTTTTCTTTGCATGATGTGATATTAATAACCCTTCACCCAGATAGAAACAAGATCGTCGCATTTCTATGAATCACAGGCAGGATTTTAAGAACTATGTGGGGACGGAGTATAAGGAAAGAAGACTGCAGAACGGTGAGAAAAGAAAAAAAAAATTATGACACAGTTAAAAAATGGCGTCCCGCCATGACAGGTTTACCGAGGAAGAAGAACTGGGGGAGGAGAATCAGGATTGTTTGAAAGAGAAGGAATGCTGGAATGTAACTTTGACCTGACAAAACCCCCAGACCCATTTGTTATTTGGTAAGCCTGAGAAAAATAAAAGACAGATCGGAGATTAATTTTGTTTATGGAAGCGTTGTACAGAGGCTGTCCCGGATCGATACGATTTTTGGAAAAGTACAAAATCCACATAGAATGCCAGCTGTTAACCTGCTTGTGAAAATCATCAGAGATCGCAAAGAAAGGAATTTATGATAACAACGAGAAGAGAAAAGAAGTAACAAAGGACTTTCCGGATCAAACTAGAGAGAACTGTCTAATTAATGCAGTAAGATAAGTGATGCTGTTTCGGACTCGAGCTGAGCTTGATGTATGGGTACCCCCAACAAAATTTAAAGTTTGGCTGTATAATTTGGAATTAATGTGATAATGTGATGTGATTGGCATGTTAATAAAAATTATGTTTTTTTAAAAAAAAAATTCTAAGGATACACCCTCTGATTTCACCATTGATTTAATCAATCAGGAAACCAAAGACGCTGTTTTACCTGGTGAAATTGTGCTCATGCCCACCCAATTGGCGGGCCCACTACCACCTAAGGTCGCAGGCTTAATTTTACCCAAATTCTCTGCGGCCAAAGAAGGAATCCTGGTTATTCCAGGAGTCCTAGATCCTGACTATGTGGGCACAATCATGGTTCAACTTTGGAGCCATAAGCCCATGCAGTTAAAAAAGGGTGAGTCTTGGGCGCATTTGGTAGTGCTCCCTTCTCATCCTACTGCTTCTATTATGGATAGTAATTTGCACCAGCTCTCTCCCCTCTCTCCACAGCTATTAGCTGTAATTCAGAGGATTGGTGAACAGAAACTTCTTCGTAAGTATAAAATCAATGGCAAAGTTCTGGAAGGCTTGATTGACACGGGCGCAGACATTTCTGTCATATCCAGTAATTGCTGGGACCCCACGTGGCCCCTTGAGTCTGCCTCTGCAGTTTGGCGTGTGGGTGGACCTCAGACCTCTTCCAAAAGTGTACAGTGGTTGCCTGTTTCTCTGCCTGATAGCTCTGAAACCATTGCATACATCCAGCCCTGTGTGCTGAAAATCCACCTCAATCTGTGGGGCAGAGACCTACTTCAACAATTACAAGCTACCATTCAATTTAATGAGTAAGCTTGCACTCCCCCTCAACTGGAAATCCACCACCCCTGTATGGGTGGAACAATGGCCCATAACGGGGGAAAAGCTACTTGCTTTAAAACAATTGGTGAATGAACAATTATTGGCAGACCATATTGAGTCTTCTGTTAGCCCCTATAATACCCCCATCTTCGTCATAAAAAAGAGAAGTGGGAAATGGAGATTTCTCCAGGATTTAAGGAAGATTAATGACATCCACCCCATGGGGCCCTTGCAGTGTGGTCTGCCTAATCTGAATGTGATCCCCCATTCTTACCAATTGGCTATCATAGATTTGCAAGATTGCTTCTTCTCCATCCCCTTACAGGAGAAGGATCATAAATTCTTTGCTTTCACTGTTCCTGTGTTAAATAACAGCCAGCCCACGGGACGGTATCAATGGAAAGTCCTACCGCAAGGAATGCTGAATTCCCCTACCATGTGCCAATATTATGTGAATCAAGCCCTCCTGCCTTTCCGTTTTCAGTATCCACATCAATAAATGTGTGGGAATCTTTTGCAAAAACCCTCAATGTTTCTTCCTTTTGCCTAACCCAGCAGGTATCAATAGGTGAAATCCTTGGCTCTTGCCTTATCCCTGTTTGCTATGACCCTTTTGATATGCAAAATGATACCTGGTTTTATTCATCCCTACCCAAAAATGATTCTCTCTGCACCCTTGGTTATTCCGGTTACCATAACTGGGGTACCCAAGTGCGCCGACGCCCACCTCTGGCCATTGATTTGTTGACCCCATACCTGGCTTCTTTTAATGTCACTTGCGCCCGTATGGTCAGTTGCACAAAAACCAACTGTGTGAAAACGGGCAAGGATAATTTTAACTGCTCTAATTATGTAAATATTTCCTATGTATATAAATAAAATCATTGTTGCCTACTTTGCGAAGTGGCAGCACGAACAGTAAATAATAGGGGAGATGTGGGCAGACTTACTTTGGGCATGCGCTGGAAAACCACGTATCCCGAAGTATTTTTGTCCCATTCACCCTGAAATCATATAGCAACATCTTGCACACACAAAAAAAAAGAAAGAAAAAGAAAGGGGGAGATGATGGGAAGTTTTCCTTCTGCACATGAGTCTGGCAAACCGCTCTAAGCTGAAGCATTCTTTTCTTCACCCACCCTAGAATGTTTAGTTCACATTGAGTTCATGAAACATCGTACCCTGACCTGTTCTTAATGCATGGTTGACCACATCTACGGAATGTGATAGTTATGTTCTTTTAAGTCTTGCTATATCAATCAATATTCAATAAAAGGGACTCCCCGAGACATGCTCGAGAGATGCCTCCCATATGACACTTGTCATTCGTCTGTCGTTTATTTCAACCCAACAGGCTTTGTCTTGGATGGATTCTTCATTAACTCATTTTCATTACCCTCCAAACAGACTTCCTAGATGATAATATCACAGATGATGCTCTGTGTGTTAAGACAATTGTCAACAGTACAAAGGACATGACTGCTTGGTGAGTAGCATCAGCTCCTTTTTTTCTAGAAACAAACAAACAAACAAATAAAAGATGGCTGAAAAATATTACTTAATCAGAACCTTCAGTAGAAACTCTATTAGGTACATTCAGGGGTACATTCAGACCAGCACATTGCATATTAAATAGCATTTAAGTGTCATTTGATTTTGCTTTAGGCCACTTTGTTGTGAAAAGTAGAGAGGAAAATCACATGAGATAGGAATAAGAACAAGCTGAACTCAGGGTGCTGATAATTTGTGAGAGCCTTCCCTGCTTGGCCTTCCCCAAAGGAGCAACAACCTGTACAGAAAGGAACAGCAACCAGCATATCACAAAGGAGCAGCAACCAGCTGCTAAGTGTATAGGATGCCATCCTGTCCAGGGCTGGGGGGGGGGGGCATCAGGTTGGAAGAAGAGACTAGGTGGGAAGGAGAGTTCAGGTGGGAAAGCCTGCCCCCCTGCATCCAAAGGCATCCACTCCACCACTATCTTTTTCCAGAAAGACACAACTGGTTGGGTACGTCCCTCTTATTGTGGTGTCTCCTTCTTTTTGCCTGATGTCCTGCCACCATGAAAGCCCCAGATTGCTCTGGATCACCATGGCTTTGTCAACCCGACTCGAGCAATGGCTGGATCTCCCCCCCCCCCATTGGCCTTGACTTGTTTGGGTGCACAGCTGTAGCACTTTGTGGCCAGTCTTCCTGTTGCCAAATTCAGTCTTGCAGAACTATTTTCTTTTAATAACTCTGTATGCAAAATGCAAAATAACCAATGTGTTTCGTCCACCCATTAGGCCACTCTATGAGAAATACTGTGATGAAGGTCGGGTAAATCGTTATTATATCAAGTGCCTTTTTGGTGGAGTTACACAAAGAAGAAAGTTTTTGCTTCGGAACCTGCCTTGACTTCTATAGAGGGTTGCATTGTCTCAGGTTTGGTCTGACAATGTGCTTCACTTCAGAGCCTCATCTCTTCTCATTTTGTAAAGCTTTGGATCCCCCACCCCACCCCCATGAAACCAACAAACACCAACCTCATCTGTAATTTTTGTCAGACAAGGATGAAATCTGTTCACTTCCTGACAGGTTTGAGCCTTAAAAGGTACGCTCTCTCCTAAGGTCCAGTCTTACTTAAGAAGCTGAACCCCTTGAAGGGACCCCATTTTTATTCCCCGCTTACTGCAGGGCTCTACATAGGGCTACCTTTGAAGATGACTTGGAAACTGCAACTAATTCAGAATGCGACAGCTAGACTGGTGACTGGGAGTGGCCGCTGGGACCATATAGCACTAAAGGATCTCCACTGGCCCCCAGTAAATTTCCAAGCACAATTCAAAGTGTTGGTGCTCGTTATATATCATCTCCCTTTTTTTTTATAATACTACATTCCGAACTGAAAAAATATATATTTAAAATGACGTTTGTTCAAAAACCAGAAGCATTTTTACTAGGTATTTCTGATCAAGGACTGCCGAACGAGAAATGGAAAATATTCATGTATGCGACAACAGCGGCAAGAATCCTAATAGCACAAAACTGGAAGACTGGAGAAATACCTTCAAAAGCACAATGGCAGGAAAAATTGATGACCTATGCGGAATTAGCAAAGCTAACGGATAAGCTACATGAAAAAGACAGTGATTTTAAAAAAGAATGGGAACCTTTCATAAACTATCTGCAGAAACAACTGAAAGAAATGGACTCGGTAGCAGGATTTGAATAAACATTAACAACTTTACTTAACAAAATACATGAATAACATTGTAATAACGTTTTGACAGATAAGGAATAGCAGATTGTATCATTTAATGTAACAAACCAGAGGGGAAGCTGAAGGAAGTCAATGGGAAGGGGGGGGGGAAATGTAGCACGTATGTTTGGAAATGATTTTGATATTTGTTGTTAGAAAAGAAAACTAATAAAAATTATTTAAAAAAACAAAAACAAAGTGTTGATGCTGACCTTTAAAGCCCTGAACAGTGTTGGCCCTGTATAGGCCCTGTCTCCACCTCCATTGCTCAGCCGGGACACACAGGTCCTCCTCTGGTGGTTCCCTCACTGCAAGAAGCCAAGTTACAGGGAACCAGCCAGAGGGCCTTCTCAGTAGTGGTGCCCATCCTGTGGAACACCCTCCCATCAGATGTCAAGGAGATAAAGAACTACACAACTTTTGAATATATTATATATAAATATATTCAAAGATAATTATGAAAAAAATATGGAAATAAAAAAAGGAATTTAGGGATTTGGGGATGAATGAATCTATCATTATTAGGAAGGATATTGGTAATCAAGATGAATGTATTGCCAAAAATGTTATTTTTGTTTCAATCAATCCCAGTGATAAGCAATGTGAGTTGCTTCAAAGAGTGGCAGAATTTATCTGGAGAGGTGATAAGCCAAGAATAAAATATAAATTATTAACAGATCTTAAAGAAAGAGGTAGCTTCTCCTCTTTCATGGTGGCAGGACATCAGCCAGATAAAAAATTATATTATGAAGCTTTTTGCATTTGCTGGATCCAGGATTGGATAACATTAAAAAACACAGAATTACTAGATCTAGTAGGACATGGTAATAGACTTGGTTGCCATGCGTACTTGTGGTACCAGAAGGCAAAAGTACATAAAAGCTTCCAGTCATATAATAAGAAATGTGATTTTTTAAGTTTGGGGAAAATATAAAGATTTGTTAGAACAAAAAACATTATGGTGGCTTTCCCTGCTGGAAGCAATATCCATGAAAAAAGTAAATATGAAACATAATTGGGCAACATATAGAGAGCTGTTAATGGAAATAGATAATCAATTAAAATTGAAGGAATTTCAAGAAGTAAAAGGAAAGATAACAGATTGACTACAATATTTCCAATTAAAAATAATAAAAAGATGAAATTTCAAATTTCAGAGAGAAATAATAGAAAGTGATACTAAATTACTATCAAATATGTATATTAATTAGAATGGGAAACCAGGGCAAAAGATGTGGGACGTAATATACAGATGACAGATTGGGAAAGACTATGGAAGAATGATATAAAATTCACAGCCTGTACCTTACTTAAAGAGAATTACATGAAAATGATGTATAGGTGGTATTTAACAATGGTTAAATTGGCAAAAATGTATAAAACAAGAAAAATTAAGTGTTGTAAATGTAAAGCAGTAGAAGGTACGTTTTATCATATTTGGTAGCAAAGTAAGGTCATTAAAATATTTTGTGAAATGATATATAACAAATTGAAGAAAACGTTAAAAATAACCTTTGTTAAAAAACCAGAAGCTTTACCTTTTTTAGGGTAAAGAATATAAGAATTTGTTCATGTATGCAACAATGGCCCCACATATTGTTAGCCCAACACTGGAAAGAAGATGTCTCCACTAAGGAAGATTGGCAAATTAAGTTAATGCGGAAATGGCTAAATTAACTGGGAAACTTAAAAATCAAGATGACAACATATATAAAAAATAATGGGAAACATTTATTGCATATTTACAAAAGCAGTGTATGCAATTTAATACATTAGCAGGATTTTTAAAAACACTTGTAATGTTATATATAATGTGTAAACTTGGAGGTAATTAGAGATAAAGATTTTATTGCATAAATGAAGATAATACAAAGGAACCAAGGGAGGTAGTGGAGGGAAATTGGGGGATTCAAGTAATCCCAGAATGTGGATTTAAAATTGATTATATATAGTTGTTTCAAATGTTTTGGTTTATGTTTTGTTTTGTTTTCTTTAATGCAATGATTTTTTGGGGGGGTGAAAACTATGTGTGTGTATGAACTACACAACTTTTAGAAGGCAGCCATGTATCGGGAAGTTTTTAATGTTTGATGATTTACTATGTTTTTATATGTGTTTATACCATAGCCAGATGGGTGGGGTATAATAAAATATTTATTATTATTATCATCATTATCATCATTATTAATTTGCTGATGTTTTTGAATTGTTGTAAGTTGGCCTGAGTGGTGCAATTGCAACCAAAGAGTGGTATATAAATGCTATAAATAATATTTAAAATCTTAATAGCTTTTTATTCTAAGATATATATTTTTTACATATCGTATTCTTCGCCCTATAGGATGCACTTTCCCCCCTCCAAAAATGAAGGGGAAATGTGTGTGCGTCCTATGGGGCGACTTTGCGCAGCTCTCTCACGGCTTGCGGAGAGCTGCCTGTTCTGGGAGCTGGGGTCGGGGGAAGCTCGGGCTTCCCCAGCCCCGTGCCTGGGGGGGAAATAAAAATGTTTTTCTTTATTCCCCCCCCCAAAAAACCTAGGTGCGTCCTATGGGCCGGTGCGCCCTATGGGCCAAAATATACGGTAATATACATAGATATTTGTAAACTTGTTAATGTTGTTATTGATTCACTGACATCACATTCATTACTTTATTTTTTTGTTATCATGTCACTCATTTTCTTTATATCTATTAATTTCCAGCTGCTTTTTGCGTGTTACTTCCATCCCTAAAGTGTTCAAAATTCTCTTGCAATTTTTATTGTGGTTTATTGTGAGCAGCGAGTGACATCCAGAACTAAAAGCAGATTAGCCTAACAATTGCTCACTTACACTTTCTCTTTCCCTCTCACTGTAGTCAAAGATTAACATCTTATACCCTTTTAAATGTGTTTCTGAGCAGGTGTTTGTGGGGGAGGAGTATTTTGTTTCCCTAAATACATTTGGCTTGTAGGCACAAAAGTACTCAATATATACTCAGGCAGGTGCAGACCTGTGAATTTGTTATCTTGAACATTGTTTCTGTCATCCTGACCTTCTCTGATCTCCATCCAGAATAGAAACTCTTAATGATTCAGATCAAATGCATCATTTTAGCTGACCCTAATTCCCAGATGAGGATCAAAGCTGATTTTTAAAATGAGAACAAACCATTCTTCATCCCACAGGAAACTCCGTGGGAAATGATGAAGGAAAATGTATAAGGGAATATCATTGTATGTGCCTTTTATCTTTAGAAAGAAGAAAGAAATAAGATTATTGCGTTGGAGAAAGAAAACTATTTGGATGAACACAGTGGCCTTGATTCCTCCTTTAATTCAAACCATGCTGCCAGAAATGAGGAACTGGGTATTTGATATCCGGTCAAACCGTTTTTAAAAAGTGCAAAGTGCATTCTACAGGTGCAGACTAGACACAAGGTGCATAAGCATTAAAAGCATATTATTTCCCTCAAGGATTTCTGTAGTTTGTTAAGGGTTGCTTTGAACTGTAACTCTGTGAGGGGCGAACTACAGTGACCAGTGCAATTCAAGGTTTTGGTGCTGACCTTTAAAGTCAGCAAACTTTTTTCCGCAGGGGGCCGGTCCATTGTCCCTCAGACCTTGTGGGAACTATATTGTTTTTTGGGGGGAATCCCCCCCAACTCACCTCTCCCTTCTCCACAGCAGAGAAGGCACAGGTAAACCCCAGTAGCTGCTTACCTGTGCCTTGCGAGCAGCAGGGGCTGGTGGCGGCAGCAGGACGAGCGGCGTGAAAGGGTTGGCTCCAGAGAGGGGCTGCTTAAAATGGCGTTCAGCCAACTGCGGCTCAACAAAGCCCAGCCCCCTTCCTCCTCTAGGCAGGGCAGGAAAAAGCCAGGAGGAGGGAGGGAGGAGGTGCAGACGCGGTGTGTGTGAGGGAGAGGGGAGGGAAATGGCACAGCCCAAACAATCAGAATCCCCACGCTGATCCACGTGGCAATTCCCGGACCGTCCGCGGGCCAGATCCAGAAGGGGGCTGGATCTGGCCCCCGGGCCTTAGCTTGCCGACCTATGCTCTAAACAGCCTCAACTACGTATACCTGAAGGAGCGTCTCCACCCCCATCCAGGACATGGGGGTCCAGCTCTGAGGGCCTTGTCGGGGCTCCCTTATTGTGAGAGGTGAAGCTACAGGGAAGCATGCAGAGCCTTCTCAGTGGTTGCGCCTGTGCTGTGGAATGCCCTCCCTTCAGATGTCAAGGAGATAAACAACTACACGACTTTCCGTAGACATCTGAAGGCAGCTCTGTGTCAGGATGTTTTTAATGTTTTATATTTAGTTTTGTGTTCATATTATGTTGGAAGCTGCCCAGAGTGGCTAGGGCAACCCCCAATGAGTGGGGAATAAATAATAATAATTTCTTTATTTATAAATTTATATCCTGCCTTCTCTCACAAAGGAGGAAAACAACAATTAAAAAAAATCTTTTAAAACACAATATTGCAGAGCAATCTAGTCAGTATATTTATGGAGTGTATTGTTTAGCATATTTATGCTTAATGGATTACAATGGTCAGCAAATAGGAGCTAATAGTGGGGAGCAATCTGCTGCATGAAAATCCATTCTTGTCAAAAGAAGCTCTCCCCTGATAACAATTTCTGCAGGAAAGATAAGTAAAGCACTAGTGTTATAAAAAATAAAAATAAAAATTGTAGTAGCACCTTATAGACCAACTAAGTTTGTTCTGGTATAAGCTTTTGTGTGCATGCACACTTCTTCAGATACTCTGAAGCAGAAGTCACCAGACCCTTATCTGGTGGGGTGGGGTTTTTCTCAGAAGGGTAGTAGGAGATGGGTGATTGGCTCAATGGGTATTGAGTCACTATTGTTAACCTATACTTAACATAGACAACATCTCTCTCTCTCTCTCTCTCTCTCTCTCTCTCTCTCACACACACACACACACACAGGCAGCTTAGGGACATTCTAGCCTGTTGTTGCACCAACTCAGCAACCTCTAAGCCTCTAAAGCAAACTAAGGCCCGGGGGCCAGATCTGGCCTAATCGCCTTCTTAATCCAGCCGTGGATGGTCCGGGAATCAGCGTGTTTTTACATGAGTAGAATGTTAGAATGTGTCCTTTTATTTAAAATGCATCTCTGGGGCATTGTGGGGAATAGGAATTTGTTCATTCCCCGCCCCAAAATATAGTCCGGCCCCCCAAAAGGTCTGAGGGACAGTGGACCGGTCCCCTGCTGAAAAAGTTTGCTGACCCCTGGTCTAAGCCCTCACTGTAGAAAGAGGTGTAGACTTGGACACCCCGGCCAAGTCTACATCCATCAGCTATAAAAACTCTCAAGACTCTGGACATATTACTTCTTAGAGATCTGTGGTAATGAAGGCCCTGAACCTTGCCTTCCTCTGCCTACTCATTTTAGCATCCGAGTCCAAAAAGTATCTAAAATGCGAGCTGCAAGATGAATTAATAAGACGAGGACTGGATGGTTACCACGACATTGGAGTAGGACACTGTGAGTTATTTAGGTGCTTGACTCCCTTTAGCTTCTTTGAATTAATTTAGGTCCACCTGCTATGGTTTTGTTAAAGGCTTTTTATGGATTGAGTTTGTTGTAATTCATTATTTTCTTGATGTTTAGACTGTCCTTTAAAATGTTTATGATTTCTCTGACATTGTTTAATATTTGCAGATGTGCCACTTTTTCAAAATGGGCCCATAGAAACAAAATTGGGCATTGAGAACATTTTCAAAAAAAATATTCAAAAAATGTCCTGTTATTTTCAGAATTGTGATTTTTACTTCTTGGGGTGGGAGTGTAACAGAGCAAAACAGTTCTGGTACTATGTGGTAAAAGAGATAAAAAAGAGAGTTTTCAGGTTCTACCATTGTGGTTTGTTTATTAAGTGTTATTAAAGGTGAACATCCTCAAATATGTGTTTCAGATTGTGCATTTATTCAGTTTTGCAAAGGTCTCTATTGAGAAAAACCTGCAAACAGTTGAATCTGATGGGAGGAATTCAGTGCAGCACTAAGCAGATTGCTCTATCAGTTCTTTCTACTTGCCTGCAAGGGTTGTTGTTGTTGTTTTGCCCCAGAAAATTTTTGGGGGGCATGGGAAGCCCAGATGTGCTAGGGAAAGTCCTTGCTCAGGCATTCGCTGGTGGGACTACTCCGTCAAATCTGCCCTCATTAAATTAACAATCATTCTAAAAAAATAGAGAAAATTATCATGAGGAATTACATAAAGCATGGTAACAGGTTACATAAAAAAGGAATTTGGAAGGGTTAAGAGTAGATTATTTATTCCTTTAAAATTGTCATCAATTTGTGAGGAAGCTCCGTTGGTGTAAATAATCAAGTTTTCTGGTTTTATAAAAGCATTTATAAAAATAATAAACAAATAGCATCATTAGCATATCTATTTTGTATGTATATGTGTTTTATGCTAAAGAAAAATATTATGAAAAACAAACCTTTCACCTGCGCTAGGTGAAAGACTGAATGGTTAATGCCAAATTTGAGAATGGTTAATGGTTAGGGCTGCCATACATCCTGGATTTCCCGGACATATACGGGATTCCGCTCCTGAAAATGGTGTCCAGGGGAAATTTTCAGAACTTGGCAAAATGTCCGGGGAACATTTCTTTCTCAGCACAGGGCTGGCTCCCGCCAGCCGCTTCCCTTCCTGGTATGTTCTCTCCCTCTCCCTTCCATCCTCATGCCAGCCACCTGATGAAGATGTGCGATGGTGGTGGTGGGTTGTCTGGGTTTTGGCTCTTTGGAATATGTCAACTCTGTAATGGTAACATTCTGTAATGTAATTAGCTGAAATATTGAGTCATATAATATGAAATTTCCTGTTTTGAAGTTTTGCACTTTGTAGGAAACAAAAAGCATTCTACCTTTCTAATCTGTGCTTTCCTCCCAGGGTTGTGTTTGGTCCTGTTCGCAAGTCAGTTTGACACGCAACACTATGAGTACACAGATGGCCATCCATACTATGGAATATTTTATTTGAGTGGTCTGTTGTGGTGTGACAATGGAAAGCATCCCACAAAAAACCTATGCAGTATTGACTGTGAGAGTAAGTGGTGACTCTTTGCTTTTGCCTTTTGCAACTCAAGGAGAACTGTTTATTTCAGGGGTGGGAATCTGCTCCCTGGGGCCCTTCGTGGCCCACCAAGGTCTCCAGCTTGGCATGCCAAGCGATTTCCTCTGAAACAAGGTTGCAGAAGCCCCACACTGCTGTCACTTGCAAACTCCAGTCTTCGTTCTCCCCTCCCCATCAACAGCGGGGACCCAAGAAATAAGCAGTTTGTCAGCCCTATGTTCAGAGCTTCCCAGTGCACCAACTTTGGTCTGTTGAGGTGTGGTTCCCAAGTGGTAAACCCACACAAGGGATTTTGACCGGTGGGCGGATATGCTCATGCAATATCATATGATGTCATATGACTGACAGATAAGTGTCAGTCCCACCCATCCATCAAATTTGGCTCATGGGCATGATCCTGATAAGGATCTGGCCTGTGGAGCTATAAAGGTTCTCCACAATGTGGCAGAGCTTAAGCCTGAATGCTAGCAACATACTTTGGTTCGCAAGCTGTGGCTTAATTATGCCTGCTCAATTATGAGTGTCAGGCACTCTTTGCATGCTCAGTGGCACCCATTTTTTGTTATTTATATCTTTCAGGACTGAGTCTTGGTATTCAAAAAGGGGTTTTGTGGAGGAGACTTAGGGAACTTTGGCTCAAATACTTAATCCCTCCCCATTATTAATGCAGTTTCTTTTTCTTTGCAATGTGACTAATGTAAGGTTGCCATATTTCAGAAAGTGAAATCCGGACACAAAAGTTGTTGAGGTTCTTTTTTGGGGGGGCCAAGTTGTTGAGCTTAGACTCGTGCCTAGACTCGTTCACGTCATTAAAACCACTGATCACAATGAAGCCTTCAAAAGATAAAAAGAGGCATTTTTCAAAGACCAAGCAGAGCTTTGACAGAATCACTTGCAGCAGTGACAGGAGACAGGAATGGGAGTCACTAGGAAACTATTTGGATCCATCTGTTTTGGGGGGGCAAACCAATTTAATGGGTCCTTCATTCCTGAAGATTTTTCTGAGGCCAAGTAAGTCTTCAGGGGTGAAGGACCCATTAATGGAGCAGGAGCAGGAGTAACTTGATGCAGACTCATGATTGAGACAATCAGGTGGGCTGAAGCAGCTGCCTTGGGCAGTGGAATCCAACAGGACATTGCCCTGCTGTGGTTGTGGCTTCCAGTGAGATAGAGATGGCACAAATGTTGAAGTCTCTCATAACCATGAGCCTGAGGGATTTCAGCACTGCTGCTGAGACTACCTTGGCTACCTCAGGAAGGCAGATGGTAGGTAGCAAGGTGGAGAATACACCAACAGAAGCCCCTATTCTATCCTGATTCAATGCCAACTTCAATAACTTTCCTGGCAGAATTTCTGGATGACAATATCGCAGATGATGTTGAGTGTGCAAAGAAAGTTTCTGCAAGCAAGAATGGGATGTTAGCTTGGTAAGTGGCATCAGCTCACCAGTGTCTAAGAATGAAAATATAAATGACAATATCATATAATCAAATCGAGCACAAACTTTTCTGTTTTATGATTACAAGGCAGAGAAAAGAGAACTGCTTTCAACCCCATACTCTTTGTTTATTAAGTACATTTCAAGAGTCCTTTACAATAGAATAGTCTATTATGAAAAATGGTGGAAGAAATAATGCAAGACAAAATGAAGAACTAGTTGATCACCATGATGGTCTGCTCAGCTAGTACATATCTGGCAGAGATTCTGCTTAAAGAGTTTAGGGGTGGCTGTTGTTGTTTTTCCTTGTGGGGAATAGCAGAGTATCTGTAAATGGGTGCATGGATATCATCCAATGGTGCAAATTCAGAATAAAATTAGAAACATGATGTAATAATGAAAGAGAACAGTGTGAAGCTCGTTCTACACTTTGGTGCTTTTTTAGAAAACAAAAAAAACTCCAGTTGGGAGCCTCCAGTTGACAGGCCTAATTAGACACCCTGCCCCCCCCAAGGCCTCTCCATTTGTCTTAAGAGGCCATTTGTCCCAAGTCATGCCCACCTGTTCATCTCTTGATACCATAAATAGAAATATGACATCAGTTGTGAGACATGTAAAACCATTGCCTTATTTTTAAAAGGAAGAACCTGGAGCTCTCAATTCTTCCTTTTCGGCCTCTGCTGAACTTGGTGCCAAATCCCAAGCACCTTGCAGTGCTGGAATAATTTTTGAATTCAAAATGCATCTGCAAAGAAAGAATCTTTTTTTGAAACTGTGGCTGAAATTTAATATCACCTGATATAATTGTTGTGAGATAATGCCGAGGCCTTGTGCCTTCCCCCAGTGCAGCATCGCCCGGGATTCTTCACTCCGGTCTCCCGTCACACTGATGGGACATGAGCACACAACCAGCAGAATCCAAAATAGAAGCGTTAGCCTTGAGGTGTAACATCTAATCCTAATTTATTGCAACGAAATCAAACATAACAGTTCAAAGTAAACATGGCTCCTCTTTCTCTCTCTTCCTCGGAGAGAACACTGAAACAAAACATCACTGTGAGAGAACAAACAGTCTATCTCCCTTTCTGCTTATATAGCTCTAACAATCAGCGGCTGAAATGCATTACATACAGACACGTGCTCCAACAAGTGATCCCTATCTGCAGCATAGGGAGGGGTGAAATCCTAACAATTATGTGACATCAGGTGATTGACAAGTGTGGTTCTGTCCAAAGTCACCCTTGTAGGGTGACCATTTCTGGATCTGGTCCTCCAGCTGGTAACATAGATTATTAAGGCAAATGCCAACTGCCCCAACCTGTCTCTCATAAATGTTGTTTCTTTCTCTCTTCTCTTTTAGGAAGCCCTTTGAAGAATACTGCCTACATCCTATGCCTTCCATACTCTATTGGGAATGCAATAAGCCTTGAAATACAGGCATCCATTTATTATTACCGTAATTTCACCACAAGCTGTTCTGATTGGATAGGGTAGTTAGTGGTACTACATCCTGCATCAGCTAACTGATGAAGGCGGCAGGCCTAAAACCAGAGGACCATTTGATCAAATGACAGGATAATCTTCAAAATTAACAAACACCCTTTTTTAAAAAAAAAAAAAAAAAAGAGAATCTTCCTGAAACCCACAACTTGGATGAATCCTATAAACGTGTCTCAATTGATTCCATTCAGACAAAGCTTATATGAAAATATTACATCAGAATCAAGTCAATATAGATAGCATCGAGTACTCTTCTGAACTTGGGAAAAAAACCATTGGGATGGATCCAGGTTAGGTTAGTTACACTTACTTCCCACTGAAATAAATGTGACTTCAGTTAGCCATGACTAACGTCTTGCACTGATTTCAATATGACTGTTTCAGCTAGGTTAGCTGGGGGCAGCTCTGCATAAGCGGGTTCCACTCCAGCCTCCCCTTCTGCAGACACAGGCCAGGACCACAGAGCAGGGCCTTTACCTGTTTGTTTCACCCAGGACATTCAATGGTGCAAGGTTCCTTTCTCTCTGCTGCCCATCCCATGTGATTCCCTAGGTCAGGCTTCCTCAAACTCAGCCCTCCAGATGTTTTGAGACTACAATTCCCATCATCCCTGACCTGAACCCTGTCCTGCTAGCTAGGGATCATGGTAGTTGTAGGCCAAAAACATCTGGAGGGCCGTGTTTGAGGAAGCCTGCCCTAGGTTCTGAATTGTGCTGGGTAGTCAACCTCTGAGTAAGATGAACTCACATCTTCTATGATTCCATGCCATCTAGTTTCTGCCATGGCTTCCAGCCAGGAAAAACAGGTTTCTGCCTCAACTATCTTTACCTCTTGCTTGGTCCACAGCCAACCTGCAGCAGCCTCCACACACTGCAGCCAGGCACCAATTCCTTTTTCTTCCTGCCTCCTCCTTAGCCTTTACAGCATCATCTTTCCCTGACTAAATTCTATATTTATAATCTTCACCTCTCATCTGCACCTCAATCCCCTCTTACCCCTCCTCTGTTGGATAGCCCTGTCCTCTGCCCCTGTCCCAGCCCCATTCTAGTGTAGTACCTTCAGATTCTCTTATTTACAGTCTGCAAGATGCTAAATGTGACTAACAGTCAAATCCAGTGCTCCCATTCTGCTTGCAAAATGGCTTTTGGTTGAATAGACGTATCTGATAACACAAGAGAAGAGGGTTTTCAGCCCCCCCCCAGCACCCTGAAAATGTGTTTCTGAGGTTTGGGGGCCCCTCCAGAACAGCATAGAAGAAAATATTAGTTAGCAACATCATCAGCAATCATCTTACAGTCATCCACAAGTATTTCCAAGTATGGCTATAATGAAATATACTCTATATTTCTATACATATAAGGCAGGGCAATCAGAGCAATGTAGAGAGTATGCTGAAGACAGGGTATGGAATATGGAAGACCCACACTAACACAAGAGCCAACTCCTGGGGCCGCCCCAATAAAATATTTGAGGGGGCCGCCCCCCAAGTTGATGAACATTGCCATTCAAATGGCATGCTTGCACCATGTCATGTGATCAATTATGCAAGGAAAGGCTTACTTGGGTCTCCCATTATTTTATTCAAGTTGGCACCCCTGCACCCAAAAGTCCCCACACTCCAAATGTTCTCAGAGCTATGGCATGATATAAATGAGCCTCAACACTGGAAAAAGTTCTCTAAGGCCCAATAAAACATCAGAGGACATGAGATTCTGAGCAGCAAGCTGGATCTGAGTCCAGCCTGCCAGCATCAGTACCATTTTGCCAGCCATGTCAAAAGATGTGTAGCACATGATACAAAGCTAATCAGGAATGGCATCATTCACAGACTGGTGAATGATGCAGGACTCACACCTTTTTAAGACTCACATACATAAAGCAAGCACACAAAGAACTCTCTCTAAGCAGCACCTCGCTGCACGTGATCTCTTTGCATTCCTTTCCTTATATTGGAGTTAGGACACATGTAGTACAGCACGTCTCCCTCTCTTATGCAGGCACTTTGGAATGTGTATTAGGCACTTCATAGAAACAAAGCTGCTCTGCTTGTCTGAAGGTCTCTATATGCATCATCACCTGAACTAGGATCCATAGACACTATGGCTGTGATGGTAGATATGCCAGATCTATCATTGTCATATTCAGAACAGCTCTGCTGCTCGGTGTTTAGAATGAACCTGCTGCTCAGCAGCCTTAACCTTAGACCATTTGCTCATTGCTTTTTTCTCAGTGGTCAAAGCTGGCCATTTACTCAGACCCTCTAAAGCATGGGTAGGCAAACTAAGGCCTGGGGGCCGGATGCGGCACAATCGCCTTCTAAATCCGGCCTGCAGACGGTCTGGGAATCAGCCTGTTTTTACATGAGTGGAATGTGTCCTTTTATTTAAAATGCATCTCTGGGTTATTTGTGGGGCATAGGAATTCGTTCATTCCCTCCCCCAAAAAATATAGTCTGGCCCCCCACAAGGTCTGAGGGACAGTGGACCGGCCCCCTGCTGAAAAAGTTTGCTGACCCTGCTTTAAAGACTCCCAATGTGGAAAAATGGTTGCCAAACCCAACCCTTCCCCATCAGAGGAAGTTTAATCAAACACAAAAGTGGGGTGCCTGGAAGCCTTCCCTTTGCTGTTAGGACCCCACTGCTCTTACTATATAATGAATAAAATTAATAAAGTGAGGTCTAGCTGCCTGCCTGCCTGTATATGTATATACTTCTTGCTTTGATTTATGTTTTCTGTGTTTCAAATGTTTAAAGGTTTCATATTTGTAATGTTTCACTCCTGATTAAGAGAATGTTCCATTTATACTGCCTATCCTCTTTTGCCACCCACTTTCATTCTGTTCTTTATCCTAATTGTTATTTACTGCTGCTCATGTCAATTCCTACTTGTAGGTTTATTTGGTTATTGTACCTGAAATATACTTGGAGTCCTGCAGTGATTTCATGCTCCTTATTGCAGCTTGTAAAACAGTGATTGATTCCCCGCCCCAAAATCTCAGGGTTTTATATACATTCTTTACACAATGAATCCCGGCTGATTGGCTGATTCTGCTTCCCTCCTGGAGCAGGCTAATCAGTTGTTGCATTCTAGGATCCTACTTGCCAAGTTTAGTACATAACAATACCTTTTTAGATAATCTGTAAATGGTTCTGATTCCTCCCTCAGCTGTCTCTCCCTGGTCTCTAGTTTTTGTTGTTATGCTAGCCAATTCTATTTTGTTGTCATGATAACCAATTCAAAAGAGGCAAAAGAGGATGATGTTGTTGTTGTTTAATCGTTTAGTTGTTTCCGACTCTTCGTGACCCCCTGGACCAGAGCACGCCAGGCACTCCTGTCTTCCACTGCCTCCCGCAGTTTGGTCAAACTCATGCTGGTAGCTTGAACACTGTCCAACCATCTCGTCCTCTGTTGTCCCCTTCTCCTTGTGCCCTCCATCTTTCCCAACATCAGAGTTTTTTCTAGGGAGTCTTCTCTTCTCGTGAGGTGGCCAAAGTCTTGGAGCTTCAGCTTCAGGATCTGTCCTTCCAGTGAGCACTCAGGGCTGATTTCCTTAAGAATGGATGCGTTTGATCTTCTTGCAGTCCATGGGACTCTCAAGAGTCTCCTCCAGCACCATAATTCAAAAGCATCAATTCTCAAGGGCAAATTTGGATTTTTCAAGAATGACACAAGACATAGGTTCTTGTGGAGATGCATTTCAGCCTTTTGAGGTGGGAAGAACTTTGGGACACCATGTTCCCCCAAATAGTAATTTTGGCTGAAGAGATCTGATATAATCTAAACATAGTTGTACCTAGAAGCCATTCTGTGGGCGGCAAGTGGGGAAACAAATGTTCTTTGCCTTGTGAAGGCTGGCATCTGGGGATTCTCCTCGACCTGGGCTTTGAACACTGATATCTAGATAATGGCCATGTCCAAAAGTGCCTTGGATGTCCCAGCTAAGCCTCTTCTAAGTAGATCTAGCCATGGTGATAAACACTTTAATGCTGTAAGCCACCCAGAGTGGCTGGGGAAACCCAGCCAGATGGACGGGGTATAAATAACAAATAACAAATAACAAATTTTATTACATCATGATCTATATATTAATTACAGGGTCTTTGAAACTTGTCCAGAAACCCCAGTTGATTGACAGTATCTTCACGGATTTGTCATCTGTTTTCATGCAGGGGTGGGGAACCTATGGCCCTCCAGATGTTGTGGGACTGCAATCAGCCCCAGCAATCATGACCAGTCATCAGGGATGATGGGAGCTATAGCCCCCCAAACATCTGGAGAACCATAGATCCCTCATCCCTGTTCTAAGTGATGCCGGGAAAATTATAAGCAAACAATATAGCAGGTGGATTCTGAGCAAAACTGTGAGGGGAATAATGGCTGTGATCTTAGCAAGAAAATATTGGAAACAAAAATATTGTTCTATGACAAGTTTATGAATAAAGAATTGTAACATAAAAATACAAGAAGTGACCAAGAATCAAGAGTTATCAGTCTGGATACCTCAGCTGGTTAGAGTATGGTGCTGATAATGCCAAAGTTACAGGTTTGATCTCTATATGGGACATCTGCATACACCTGCACTGCAGATGATCCTCAATTCTATGAATGTTTCAGTGTCTGTTAAAGACCTAACATTTTACAATTGGTCTACTGTAATCATCAACTGTAACTGATTTAAAAAAACATGAAAACAAGAAGTATTGACCATCATTTATGAACCTTTATGTGTAATGGGTTCTCTTTCTTTTTCTTCAGCAGTTGTTGGAACCATTCACTCATTGGGAAAAACATTACACACCGTAAAGCAATTATGGTGATTGCTTCCACACCACAGTGCTTCTCATAGAGTGGCCTAAAAGCGCAAGGGGTGGTGGAGAGAAAGAGCTGGTGAGCAACACATTAAGATTCTTTTTGTGCACATGTACACATGTACATTCTCAAAAAAACACAGACTCTTGATAAAACCATGTGTACAATCATATCAAGTTTGCTTCTCTGAATCCTAAACTTTTGATAAAAGTAACACAGTGCTTAAATGTAAACAGTTTATTGTATTTCTCCTTGTCAGCCAGTAATCACTCAGGGCTGGAAAGACACGTCATGGTCCACCCTAGATAACTAGTTCAAGAAACAGGTAGGTAGCCGTGTTGGACTGACACAGTCAAAATTATTATTATTATTATTATTATTATTATTATTATTATTAATATCTGAAGAAGTGTGCATGCACACGAAAGATACCCAGAACAAACATAGTTGGTCTTTAAGGTGCCACTGGATAATTTTTAAAAAATTTTATTTGGTTCAAGAAAGTTATGTTCATCCCTATCTCAGAGAAACTGGGAGAGATCATCAGGGGGGTTGGGCTGGGTGTTCATCGGTACAGATGAAGCCCAGCTCTACCTCTCCTTTAAATCAGAACCAGTGAAGGCAGTGAAGGTCCTGTGTGAGTGACTGGAGGGAGAGGGGACGGGCAGGTGTGGAGGACTCCCTAGTCCTGAATGGAGTAACTGTGCCCCTAAAGGACCAGGTGCGACCAGTCATTTTGGACTCGCAGCTGTCCATGGAGGCACAGGTCAATTCTGTGTCCAGGGCAGCTGTCTACCAACTCCATCTGGTACCCCGGCTGAGACCCTCCCTGTCTCCCGCCCTGTCTTGACAGAGTGGTGCATGTTCTGGTTATCTCCCGCTTGGACTACTCCAATGTGCTCTATGTGGGGTTACCTTGGAAGGGGACTTGGAAACTACAACTAATCCAGAATGGGGCAACTGGTGACCGGGAGTGATCACTGTGACCATATAGCACCAGTCCTTCACTGGCTCCCATTACGTTTCCAAGCACAATTTGAAGTGTTGGTGCTGACCTTTAAAGCTCTAAATGGCCTCGGCCCTGTATACCTGAAGGAGCATCTCCACCCCCATCACTTAGCCTAGGTCCTCCTCCGAGGGTCTTTTGGCGGTTCCCTCATTGCGAGAAGCAAAGCTACAGGGAACCAGGCAGAGGGTAGTTGCACCCACCCCGTGGAACGCCCTCCCATCAGATGTCAAGGAGGTAAAGAACTACACAACTTTTAGAAGACATCTGAAGGCAGCTCTGTATCAGGAAGTTTTTTTACCTTTTTTGTATTTTTCTGGAAGCCACGCAGAGTGGCTGGGGAAACCCAGCCAGATGGGCAGTATATTACTATTATTATTATTATTATTAGTAGTAGTAGTAGTAGTATTATTTACCTGCAATCTTCATGTCACGTCAGTCAATCAAATGTTTATAACAGTCAACAAGCCATTAACAGCAGGGGAGCTGTCTTGGGCCTCAGGTTATAGATGTGATGTAACGCGTGTGTCCCGGCCTCGGAACCTGACCTCCAGTGCCACCGGAAGTCAGGTTCCAAGAGTTCGAAAGACCTCTGAAAACATCTCCCAGGTCTCGCAAGACACGACTTCTGGTGATTTGCGAGGCACCGGAAGTTGTGGTTGGAGCCCTGTGGTGTGGGTGCCAAGCACCCACAACAAACTTTTTGTGAGTGCTCGGGCACCCAAAGCCCGCTATAGTTGGTGCCCCTGATTACCAGGTAACACTAATTGCTACATTTCCATTCAGGAGTGGGGCTTCTGCCAGCTGAGATGGCCAAAGGCTAAGTCCTGCTGGGTTGCTAGGTCACATGCCTGTGCTGAATGAAATTTGAAATAGTGGTAAGTATCAGGCTCACCAGGATCCACAGCAAGACCCACAAGCTGCAATCCACAGCTTGTGGGATTAGGCACATAGCTAGCGGGTTGGGCAAGAACACAGGATGCAGTCCACAGTCTGGGCACACAGAGACAGTCAGAAGATGTTGCTTCAGCTGCTCTTGCAGCCTCATACTGAGACATAGAATCGTAGCACTGTAGAATTGGAAGGGACCCCCAGGCCGGAACCTCATTGCAGAGCTCAGCTAAAGCCCAGGTTGATGCAGAAAACCCTCATTGTGAGGAGGCCCTACTCAGAGTAGCCCTTTACTCATGAGGAGTCCACCACTGCATCTGAGCACTTCTCTTGAGTAAGATAGTCTCAGCCTGCCTCTTGAACCACCATTGCTCCCAGGGACTCAGGGGTTGTTCTGTTTCCACTCCAGAGAGGCATGAGGCAAAGTGAGGAGATCACCTCAGGCAGCAGGGTCCACAAGGGCAGCAGATCCCAAGGTAAATCTTTATTTCCCCCTTGTTCTTGATGTAGATCTTCACTTACCCCTTCTTCAGAGCCAGGGAGGGGAGGGTCAATTTGTGGTTCACCTCAGGTGCCAATATATATTGGACAGGCCCTGACAGAGCAACCTCTCTGCAACTAGGAACCATCGCCAATCTCTTCCAAGAGTCCTGACACCTCCTCAACTGTTGCTTTGGGCTGTTCCTGAGTGCTGCCAGTTTCTGAGAGCTTGAGAGCATCTTTGGCCACATCCTCCTTGGAAGACGAGTTATATAACGTGGGCATGACAACCTACCTCACTCTTTTTTGGTACTCACCCTGTTTTGGTACTCAGCCTGTTTCAGCTCAGGGGGTGAAACCTTGGCTGAGGTGTCTGAATCAGGGTGGATGACTTACAGCAATGTATCTCCAGCTGAGCTGGGGTGTGGGACTTCAGACAGCAGGACTTCAGGTACTTTTTAGCTCCTTGGTTTTTTCTTATTAAAACATTCTTACATGCAGGGAAGCTGATGCAATTACTCACCATTCAGAGAACTGTTTTGAACTGACTATCTCCTTGTCTCCAATAACTTTCTTCACACACTCGGTGTCATCTTTAATATCCTCATCTAGGAACTCTGTGGAGGATGTTAATAAAAGCAAGTCAAGGAAAAACAAATCCTGGTCCAGGTAGACTTCATGGATCTTTGATTCTGGAAGCTGTGTATATGTGGAATGTGAGCTTTTACCTTAACTCAAAGCAACCACCTTTACTCTTTCCAGTTAGCTTTCCATGTTTGAGGAACTGTTGGATGTGATAGGTGGTAATGCTCCATAGCAAATATGAATATAACTCTTTCGTGTTGCAATATATATGTTTAAGGGAGCAATTCTACATGTAAGAAGCTGATGTTAAGCAAGCTGGTGTAAAGTATCAGATCTAAACTCTAGGTAATTATAGAATTGTAGGGTTGGAAGAGACCACGAGGGTCATCTAGTCCAACCACCTGCAAAATCTTTTGCCCAAAGTGGGGCTAGAACCCAAAACCCTGAGATTAAGAGTCATGCTGAACCATCTGAATCAGGAGCAGGGCTACCGCTTGCTGAGCCAGCCTAAGCCTGGCAGAGGAGAAACAAGCCTTCAAAACAGACTTTAGAGTTACACTACATCACCCTTCCCGCCACCTTAACTAACACCAAGTTGCCAGGTCCCATGGTAGAGCTGAACAGGCTTAGGATTCAGCTAAAGTCCCCTCTGGTCCTGCCCCCACCACATCCCCAGAATGCCCCCTTTTCAGGGCTTACTCTGTCTTAAGATCTGCCAAATTTGGCTAAACTGGCTGCATCATGGCTGTGGAAAATATGCTGTAGTATCTCCAGCTGGGCCAAGGACAGGGAGCCCAGCTGCACTGTGAATTTCCCAGCTCTGCCAGAGATCCATTGGCTCCTAACTGTGCTCATCCTGGTGTATCTTATAGGATTGTTCCTCTAATAGCTGCTGCAAAAGCAACTGCAATTTTGCAAAGGATGATAAATATTTGAAGTAAGAAACTACTTTGAGCATCTATAAAAGATATGAATAAGCTTATTTGTTCTTTCCAAATATCTCTTCATAGTATTATGTTTCAGTGTTATGCTCAGGGGTATTATGATTTGTTGAAACATGTTCCAAATCTGTGATGAAGATAGAAGAACCTGAGCCTAAAACCTCCACTAGGCATCTTCAATTCAGTATCAGGTGTAACACTACCTTGTGGTTATTTAGTGTGCATAGCGTAAAAGCTTCCAGGTTGTCTCGGAGTCTAAGCCTTTGGCCCAAGCAAGCCTAGTATGTGGGCACAACAGTCACAAATGCCAAGTGTGAATCTGATTAACAATTCTCCAGTTTAAACTGGGAGTGAGACAGCATGTTCTCCCTCTAATTCATTTCCTGGTGCGTGCATGAACATAAGACAAGCCTGCTGGATCAGGCCAATGGCCCATCTTCACAGTGGCCAGCCAGAGGCCTGTGGGAAACTCTTAATCATGTCCCCTTTAGGGAAAGTTCTTCATGCCAGGAAGAGCCACCCAGAGGTTTCTTGTTCCTGTCTGCCCAAATGGAGGAGGCTCTCTCAACACTGCAGAGGGATGCAGATGAAGAAGAAGGGAATGAAAGGGGTTAAATCAGGCATGTCCAAAGTCCGTTTCGGGGGCCTAATCCAGCCCGCTGGTTGGTTTAATCTGGCCCCTGTGGCAGTTTATTTCCTGGGGTAAAATTGTAAAAAACCTCAAAAACTCCAACCCTAAAAAAAGCTCAACAACTTCAAAGGTTGGGGCCCTTCACGTCATCAAATCTGGCCCTCTTTGAAAAAATTCCCAGGGCATGGAAATCCCAGGGCATGGGAGGAACAGACTTCACCCACAGATCACCTTGATGCCTGGCTCCTGCTCCTGCATGCAATATGGGGGCAGACTGAGGCACTGGGTGCAAAAGCTTTTTGCCTGACGCAAACCCCCATGCTGCTATTCAGAAGCAGAGCTTCTCCTATTAATTGGATTTTAATTGGCATAAAGTAAGGCATACACCAGAGGAGACGCCATCAAATGCAAGTTTTAAAGATATACAAGTGAGGATGGATTATTGTATGGAGTAATATTGAGATTAAAAGAACAGCTGAAGCTGTGTGTGGTTTAAAGTGATGGAAGTGGGGGGAGTTCTATTGTTTGAATGGATCATCTTGTGAAATCAGAGCTGATCCCCACCCACCCCTCAAAAACAATGGAAAAAGAAAAGAGACCAAGAGACCAAGAGGAGTTGAGATACAGCCTTAGAGGAAGGACATTGGCCAGAAAATGCAGTCATAAAGATGAAAGGAATTTGGTGGCTGTGGACAAACAGAGGCTTTAAGGATGGTGGTGAATCAAAAGGAAAGAGCTGCCAGACTACCTGCGGCTATGCTTGAAACAGGCTGAGGAGGAAATGGCAAAGCTTCAAAACTGATCAGCGGGAAGGAGTAGACTGCTGTAGACTGTTGTTTGTCTGGAGAAGCCAAGCAGTATGGGAGCATTGTGGGATGGAGCTAAACTGAGAAACCTCGAGAAACTCTGGGATTATAGCTCCACCCTAGAGCAGCAGATGAACCTCAAGGACGGGGCAGCAAACAAAGCCAAGGGTACGAACAGTTGGACATATTAGACTGGCACATGCTGACTGAAAAGAAAAAAGTCAGAGCTCCTCACTTGAAATTCTTTGAAAAGTTAAATAACATAATAACAGGAACAGAAATCTTTAAGAATGCAGCTGCTATCTAAGTGATTCTAATATCAATTGGAATGTAATTAGAAGCTAATAAGAATATGAATCGCAGTAATATAATGCACTATGGAGCGCGGCAAACCACTTTAATTAAATTGAGCTTGTTTGGAGGTTCTAGCAGAGGAGCACAGCTATCATATACCCTTGACCGAAGATCGGTACACTCCTTCTATCTGGGATGGTCGTCCTCTTCCACCGAGTGCGCAACTTCGGAAGGGACACACATGGAGCGGTGAGGGAGGAAGGGGACACCTGCCTAGCCAGCCAGATCAGCCGAATCAACCCTGGCGATCAATGGGGTGACAGATGTCGCAACCAGATCGCCTGTCTGAATTGTGCATTGCTTTGTAACGATTTGTTGGGTCTCTGGACCGTAATAAAGATTGATTGATTGATTGATTGATTAAATCGCATTACATAATTTGGAATTAATTGGAATTAATTTGGAATCAATTGGTATTGGTATAATTTGTATAATTGGATTAATATAGGGAAACTAATAAAATAACATATGAAAGAAAAAGGAAGAGCCACCCAGATGATAAAGGAGTCTGAAAGCCTTCCACACAAAGAGAGGGGAAGGAAGGAAGGAAGGATCATGGGGAACTGGAATTAATGGACCTAACTTAGTCATATTAATTAATTTCAACTGGCTGTGAGTGTCTGGAGGTGGTTGGAGGATGGATGGTGGTTAACAGATTGAGGCTGAATCCTGGCAAGTACTATTTTGAGGGGATAGCGGGTGGATGGGGGCTAAGACCCTACCCGCCCGCAGACTGTCTTGCCAGAGTGGTCCATGCTCCCACTTGGACTTTTGTAAGGCTACATCTGAAGGTGACTTGGAAACTAAAACCAATCCAAAATTTGGCAGCTAAAGGGTCTTCACTGGCTCACGTTTCAGAGCACAATTCAAAGTGCTGGTACTGAACTTTAAAGCCCTCAACAGTGTTGCCCTGTATACCCGAAGGAGCGTCTCCAACCCCCTTGTTCAGCCCAGACACGGAAGTCTTTTGGCGGTTCCCTAACTATGGGAAGTGATGTTACAGGGAACCAGGCAGAGGGCCTTCTCGGTAGTGGCACCTGCCAGATGTCAAAGAGATAAATAATTATACAACTTTTAGAAGACATCTGAAGGCAGCCCTGTATTGTGAAGTTTTTTATGTTTGATGTTTGATTCTGTTTTTATATGCATTGGAAGCCGCCCAGAGTGGGTGGGGTATAAATATTATTAAAATAGTATTAGTAAAGCTAGTTAGTAAAGCTAATCTGTCTCCTGAGAAATCTCTATGTGGGACAAGAAGCTACAGTTAGAACTGGGTATGGAACAACTGATTGGTTCAAAATTGGGAAAGGAGTACGGCAAGGCTGTATATTGTCTCCCTGCTTATTTAACTTATATGCAGAATTCATCATGTGAAAAGATAGGCTGGATGAATCCCAAGCCGGAATTAAGATCACTGGAAGAAATATCAACAACCTCAGATATGCAGATGACACAACCTTGATGGCAGAAAGTGAGGAGGAATTAAAGAACCTTTTAATGAGGGTGAAAGAGGAGAGCGCAAAATATGGTCTGAAGCTCAACATCAAAAAAACGAAGATCATGGCCACTGGGCCCATCACCTCCTGGCAAATAGAAGGGGAAGAAATGGAAGCAGTGAGAGATTTTACTTTCTTGGGCTCCATGATCACTGCAGAGGGTGACAGCAGTCACAAAATTAAAAGACGCCTGCTCCTTGGGAGAAAGGCGATGGCAAACCTAGACAGCATCTTAAAAAGCAGAGACATCACCTTGCCAACAAAGGTCCATATAGTCAAAGCTATGGTTTTCCCAGTAGTGACGTATGGAAGTGAGAGCTGGACCATAAAGAAGGCTGATCACCAAAGAATTGATGCTTTTGAATTATGGTGCTGGAGGAGACTCTTGAGAGTCCCATGGACTGCAAGAAGATCAAATCTCTCCATTCTGAAGGAAATCAACCCTGAGTGCTCACTGGAAGGACAGATCCTGAAGCTGAGACTCCAATACTTTGGCCACCTCATGGGAAGAGAAGACTCCCTGGAAAAGACCCTGATGTTGGGAAAGATGGAGGGCACAAGGAGAAGGGGACGACAGAGGACGAGATGGTTGGACAGTGTTCTCGAAGCTACAAACATGAGTCTGACCAAATTGCTGGAGGCAGTGGAAGACAGGAGTGCCTGGCGTGCTCTGGTCCATGGGGTCACGAAGAGTCGGACACGACTAAACGACTAAACAACAACAACAACAAAAGCTAATGAGTCCCACCAGCACAACCGGCTCCCCCCTGTGTGCTCCCGAATTGGCTTGAAGAGATCAGGAGAAACCCCAGGACAATGCATGAGGTTAGGAGAAGGGGAATCATTCCTCCTGGCAAGCTGAAATGCATGCACTGATGGAACAATTGCACTATGTTAAATTCCTCCCATAGGGTCCATTCTGGTTACATTCCAACTAGCTTAAGCCTTTAACACTTCTTAATAATAAGGAATAACCTGGTGATCTTGAGTCACACATGGCAAAGGTTTATAAGGAGTCACTTACTATCGCAGGCAATGCTGCATTTGTTCTTCGAGGCTTGCTTCCCATTACTGCACCATTTGGCACCATTCAGTCGGAATAATCCATAGTATGGATGGTCGCCTTCACTTGTAAAGTAGTTGGTAGTCAAGTTACTTGCAAATGTAGCCAAACAGACAACTGGTTATAGAAGCATGGTATAAAAATCAGAAATGTGGAATATATTTTAAATAATAAAACCAGCTCCAAAACATTGATATAGGATGGGATTTTAAAAATAACTCCAATTTCAGCTCCAGATTCAGTTTAAAAGCTTTAAAATAATTGATATTAACAATTCTGCCTTAACATATGTGACTCATTCAATCTTTCTTGTTGTAACATTATAAAATAGCAAGTAGTATATATCATTTTATTCTATTTGGTTTATATTCTGCCTTTCAAAGGGCTCACAGGGTGACTATAAACATTTCTAACAACTTCTAAAACTTTTCAAATGTCGTGATGCCTCCTTTGAATCTTGCTAGTTGACAATTCACAGTTTTGAGAGCTAGCAATTCAAAATTCTGCATTTCCTGTTGTAACCTTGTAAAATAATAGGGAGTACACACCACAACATTTCTAACGGCTTTTAAGACTTTGCTACGATATTACAAATTTCTTTCTCATGGTTCTTGCAAGTTCTATAGGTTATTAGTTTCCAATTTCCAATTTCACCACACTATTTGAAAAAGGATCGTAAGTGTTAATAAGGATAATTACTTTTAAACAAAAAAATATATGCATGACAATGCATGACACACACTTTCTTCAGAAAAGCGAAACGGGAGGAAACTGAAATCACATACTGCAAAATGCATCTAAGTTAATCATACCAGTAGGGTGGAAGTTGTATACCCCATGAACTCACATTGATGTAAACCAGTCCATGTAGAGGAGTCCATTCCATAACTTCTCAGTAGATAAAACAGTTCACAGGCATCAAACACTTTGGTCTCATGGCCTACAATGAGCAGGTAGAATACGGAAAGGAGAAAGGCCTTCATTGCTGCTGATCTTTGCAGAACAGTGTGTCCTCCAGAGCCCAGGTTTTATAGTCCCTGGCTGTAGGCTGTCCATTCCATCTGCAAGTGTTCTTCTTCTTGTGCCATCTCATTGGAACATCAAAATCTGCCTTATATGGAGTCAGGTGCATGGGCCCATCCAGCTCAGTACTGCTTACAGTGACTGGCAGTGGCTCTCCCGGGTTGCAGACAGGGGTCTCTCCCAGTCCTTTCTGGAGATGCTGGGGATTGAATCTGGGCCCTTTGGCATGCAAGGCAGATGCCCTGATGCTGAGCTATATGGCCCACTCTTATAGGGCAGCTAATGGCTGTAGCAACAGCCTAGCCTTTCCCACATTACCTAGAGCCAATTCCACTTCTAAAAACTGTTAAAGGAAGCACTGGGTTTACAGCTGCCATCAGACCCGTGCCTACACCCACCTTCAAAATACTCATGCAACTGGTCCTACAGGTCTGGGAAACTTAGCTGAGCCTCGTTCCAAAACAGCTGTACATGGGCATTCAATGCATATGTACTATTGTGTGTGACAGTGAGTGGGAAGCAGACATGATATATTTTCTGAGGGACACCACAAGGCAAACCTGGTGTTCATTTCAGCAATGGTAGTATGATGCCTTTCTTGATGCCTTTTGGCATCAAGAAAGAATTTATTTCTTAACTGGAAGCATTTAATCTTCAACCCTCTGCTTGATGTCACTCACAGGAGCCACCTCCTAGGGGCTGAGGGTTATTTGCCCCCCCCTAAAAAATTCTGAGTGGGCCAGCCACCCCCCAAGCTAATAGACATTGCCATTCAAATGGTGTGCATGCACCACACCATGTGAATCATTATTTTATTTAAGATGGTACCCCTGGTGTCACTCAAATATAGTAATTTTACATATTTACTTCAGTGTTTTGAAAATATTTGTATTCTGCTTTCTGCTTAGCAGGCTTTGAAAGCAGTTGGCAACAACAGCAATTAAAAATGATGAACATAATTTTTAAAAATCAAAAATTTCACAGCCAATATATATAAAAATTACATAGCAGTAACCAACAAGGAGAATGTCACAACAAAATAGAGCTAGCCCTCTTCCCAAATTCCTTCAGAAATGGGATACTGTTTGCACCTTCTCTGGCTCCACCTAACTTCCTTGCTGCCACTTTTTTCAGTTCCTGCACACCTGGTCTCCTCATGAGTAGCACTGATACCATTTACGGGAAGGGAAAGGGGCAAGTTGGCAGAGAAGTTGGGGCTGTGCAGGTGTGCAGTAGATGCCATCTGGTGCTCCTGCCTGCATATCTGCACAGTTCCAGCCTCCCTACTGCCTTCCTCCTCTCCCTCTGGGCGAGGAGGTGCTCCCTTCTGAGCACTTCTGATGCTGCTGGACTACAGTCAGGGATATGTGAACATGCCAACATTCCTTTGCATACTCATCCTTTATTTTAAATTCTGATGCAATTGATTTACTTGTGCAAGTATTTCTTCCATTTCATTGTCCACAGAAATATATGCATCTTCTTTTTTTACATATAGCGTACACATAGCTGAGCCATCAAAAAATATTTACATGCTGTTACCTTCCCTGAATGCTGCTTTTCGGTTGTAGCAAAAATAATGAGTCTTGTGGTACCTTAAAGACAAAACCATCTATTTCACTATCTTGATTTCTCAGTCCAGTAGAAGCATGTCATGTTCTCTCACTTCCTTCACATAGGCATCAGGGAAGGACAGTTTAGCACTCTGTGGACATTTTTCACCTACTATCTTGGATTGTAGAAATTCTTCTGGGCATATTATACATTTGACAGGCTTGTTCCTCCACTCAGTGTGATGCCACATGTGTGATTAAGCCCCCCTTTTATTGGAATGTTTTAACTGTGTATTTTACAAAGAAAATGGTCGTGTGTGCATCTGCTGAAATAACTCTCAAGCTAATTTATTTTAAAATGTATTTGCAGTAAACATGAATTTGTGTTTGACAGCTTGAAATCCCCCCTTTTTGTGCCAATGTATTTCTGCCATAAGGGATGTGGGTGGCGCTGTGGTCTAAACCACTGAGCCCAGGGATTCCCAATCAGAAGGTTGGCGGTTCGAATCCCTGCGAGCGACGGGGTGAGCTCCCGTTGCTCGGTCCCAGCTCCTGCCAACCTAACAGTTCGAAAGCACGCCGAAAAAAAGAAAAAAAAGTGCAAGTAGATAAATAGGTGCTGCTCCAGTAAACAGCGTTTCCATCTGCTGCTCTGGTTTCACTAGAAGTGGCTTAGTCATCCTGGCTACATGACCCAGATAAACTGTCTGCGGACAAAAGCCGGATCCCTCGGCCTGTAAAGTGAGATGAGCGCCACAACCCCAGAGACGTCTGCAACTGGACTTAACTGTCAGGGGGTCCTTTACCTTTATTTCTGCCATGTGAAAAAAAATATTGGATGACTGATTGGTTCATTTTCAAATTCACAGTACAAAAGGGAATGATTGAATAGATCAATCAATCTATTCAAGGTTGCTGCCTCCAGCAAAGAACAAGTTTTTTGGAGAGAGGCATTGTATAGAAGTGTTTATACACTAATACTAGAAGCCTTCACACTAAGATGGGATAGCTGGAGCATCTGGTCTTAGAGGAGCACAGAGTGAATACAACAGAAACCTGGTGAAAAGAAGTGAACAATCCATGCAAACAGCTGATCAGAATTAACTGCCTTAAGAGGTCCAGTTTGGTGCAGTCATTTTGTATGACATGTTGGGGTGGTACTTTTGGCAGGCCAGCAGCTCACAGCTGCAGTGTACCATGAATGCAATCCTCCAACGCCCTTGGGAAATTGTAGTTCATGATACAGCAGCACAGTTTCTTTTTCAAGGAGGAATGTACAGAAAATGAAATGGCTGCCCCTTTGGGCACTAGGGACTTCTGGTACAGAAATTCAGAAAAGAAAAGCAAGTTTACCACCTGCTGGACACTAGGAATGGAAAGATCAGACTATTTCACTCCATTTCTGGTCCATCTCCTTTTTTTTTACACATCTCATTGCATTCCAGATCCATTTCTATTTTGAGGTTTTTTAAAAAAACTAAAAATAAAACTGCACTTAGATTGCAACTTACATTATTACCAAACTCGTGGGTGGGGAACACAGGGATTCTTGGATGTTGTTGGACTCCAACTCCCATTAACCTCAAGCCAGTGTGGATAATGGTAACAGTTTATGGGAGTTGCTAGATGTTCCGTGTCAGATGTTCCGTGTCTGACTCCAAGTTTGCAGTTGCCGAGTCTAAACTCTGCCCCTTACTCTTCTTCCAACATGGGAAAAAAACCCTTCCACTTCCGCTCTTTCCCCCTCCTCTCACTGACCTTCTCGCGCCTTCAAGTTTTTGGGCTAGCTATTCCTGGCCTCTCCCCTTCTGTCTCTGAGCTAAGAACATCTGACACGGAACATCCAGCAACATCTGAAGGGCGGTCATAAGGTCCCCGTCTCTGACTTACGTACTACCTGATGCTTCAAGCTACTAGGAAGCTGCTCACAGTACGGATTGAATTTTCTGAAAATGTTGACCTTGTCCTTTACAGTTCTTGCATATTGTACACATCATTATTACATGAATATTATATGCATGTACCTTGGGAGAAAAGCAATGACAAACCTAGACAGCATCTTAAAAATCAGAGACATCACCTTGCCAACAAAGGTCCGTATAGTTAAAGCTATGGTTTTCCCAGTAGTGATATGTGGAAGGGAGAGCTGGACCATAAAGAAGGCTGATCGCCGAAGAATTGGTGTTTTTGAATTATGGTGCTGGAGGAGACTCTTGAGAGTCCCATGGACTGCAAGAAGATCAAACGCATCCATTCTTAAGGAAATCAGCCCTGAGTGCTCAATGGAAGGACAAATCCTGAAGCTGAGACTCCAGTACTTTGGCCACCACATGAGAAGAGAAGACTCCCTGGAAAAAACCTTGATGTTGGGAAAGATGGAGGGCACAAGGAGAAGGGGACGTCAGAGGATGAGATGGTTGGATAGTGTTCTCAAAGCTACCAGCATGAGTTTGACCAAACTGCGGGAGGCAGTGGAAGACAGGAGTGCCTGGCATGCTCTGGTCCATGGGGTCACGAAGAGTCGGACATGACTAAACGACAACATATGCATGTACACTCCAGGCTTCCTAAAGTAACCAGCAACATAAACTGATATGTGCAGCAATGCATATAATTGTAGAAACACCTATGTATTAGTTATGCCTCCTTGTGTTGGAGAAATATAGTACCAGATACGGCTTGATTCTTTTACATATATTATGTGTATGATTATGGGGGATTGCATATAATTCTGCATATAATTAGTTGCTGATTTATTTATTTATTTATATTAAATGTTATCGGAAGGTTACCAGATATTTTTCAATGAATCCGGGGACACTTTTCAACTTCAATGGATTTTGTATGGGGACTGATTTGTAAATCCGGGGGCTGTACCCGGGAAATGGGGACGTCTGGTAACCTTATGTTATTGCCTTCAAATAATGGGTGGTGGTGGTGGGTGCATTTCAGCTTATTAGTTGTAATTGAGTTCTGATTTGGGCAACACTTCTTTTAGGCAGCAGTGTAGTGCCAAATTTAGAAGTGCTATCTTCTTGATAGTCCCAGCAATGTGCCCTCACAGCCACACCCCTTCTAAGTGAAATATACTCAGAGAACATAAGTTTATACAATCTTCCAGGATGGTACAAAATCTTATAGTTATACAATAATAATAATTAAGTGTGCAATGTGATGATCAATGCATATAACCATGTGTTGCCTTTCAGCTGCTATTTTCTGGGCAAATGATGGGCAAATGATCTGGAGTACTCTACTATCTTCTTTCTGAGTGACTTAAGTTTTGTTTTCTTCAAAGAGCCATTGTACATAACATATGTTGGACACCCTTCTGTTGAAATGGAAGCATCTTGCGTTTTCAGTTTTCCCAAACAGCGGCTGGGAATCAAAGCAGGCAGAGAGAGATAAGGACACTGGGATGTGAGGTGGAATGTGAGAGGCAGGAGGGGCAGCCGAGTGGCATAGCTTCAGAGAACAGAGAGCAGATACCAATCTTAGCTCAGAGACAGAAGGGGAGAGGCCAGGAATAGCTAGCCCAAAAACTTGAAGGCGCGAGAAGGTCAGTGAGAGGAGGGGGAAAGAGCGGAAGTGGAAGGGTTTTTTCCCATGTTGGAAGAAGAGTAAGGGGCGGAGTTTAGACTCGGCAACTGCAAACTTGGAGTCTGACACGGAGTGAAGAAGCTCCGGAGTGATTTATGTGTTTGAGCAATAAACCTGAGATAATTACTGCCAGTGTCTCGCCTCTGTGGGAGAGCCAAGCCATTACAATGCTTAGCTTTGGAGCATACAAAACAACTCATTCTCCGTTCCTTCCCAAGGGCCTTCTCCAGAGTAACCCTAGGAGCCAATCCTCGGTGACTGACTCACTTCCTTTCACTCTGATTGGCTCCAACCAGCACAAAGAGTGTGAAGACTTATTTCTCTGTGGCTAGAAAGCTTTCCTCTCATGCTGAAGACAAGGACCTTGCTAGATCCCTGCTGCTGAAATAGAAATGAGTCTTTCATGGGGACAAACAGAAGAAGACGCCTTCACCCCGGTATGGCTCCCCTTTATCACATACACAGCCCAACAGGACAATGACAATAATCCACCAACAGCATACAAATCAATATGGCTAACCTGATCCAAAACACCCACCCACCTCACTCACTCACACACGAAAACAAAGATCACCACAGCCAATCACAAGCAATCAATCACACCCTAGGCCAACCCCAACCTCTCACCACCAAAGGAACACAAGTGAACAACACAAGCAACGCTGACACCAAACTCTACATACATTAAACATAATAGAAACACCCCCACCCGACCCCACCCCCATCCATCTTCCCTCTCTCCACCCCCCTTTCTTTTTTCTTTTTTCTTCTTCTCCCCCTAATGCCTCAACAAATGAAACGGATTTGTAAAAATGTTACATGGAAAAAAAACACGAGGCATTACACTTACTTCTGTAAAACAAGAAAATCCTTAATAAAATATTAAAAAAGAAAAAGAAAGAAATGAGTCTTTGACCCCCTGCAACCCCAGACCACCACAGCCCTGCTCTTTGGTGTCCAGTCATGACTGAGAACTGCATGAATGAAGCAAGACCCCCTTAAACAGGCACCAGCATACACAACCCTGATTGGATGAACTATTGAATGTAAAACAGTTGGATATCTTTGTGTACCTGTTTCATCCCTTCTTAGGCATGGAGGCAAAATTATCCCACCTAGCATGCTGCAGCTGCCAATTGTGAGGAAAAAATACAAGTAGCTGGATGGAATTTATTTTGATTAATAATGGCCTCGATCTTATTCACAAAGCACTGGAAACCACAGAGGCTTCCATCTTTAGAAGAATAGCGAAGATGTGAGGTCAAGCTGTGCTAGACATCCTTAGCATAAAAGCCCGAGTTTACAAAGACGAAAGAAGTCATCAAGCACTTTTATCATTGATTGGCTTTTATTTCTTTTTGGAAGACTTAAAACACAATGAAAGAATTCCCAGTTAGTTTTTTAATTAAAATGTATGTGGACTTCCTTTTTCTTCCCGTACAATACTAAGTTTTTGAACCAGGACTGATATTCCAAAAAATAAGAGCATGAGAGATGCAGAATGCTGAGGGCTCCTCTGCTGCAGTTTACTTGATAATGTGTCCTAAAGGCACAGAAAAAGAGGGGAGGGGTTGCACATCAGCATTCTTTATGAGCAGGATGTGGCCAACGTACACACAGGAACATTACAAACAAGAAAAGAATATTGATGACGCAGTAAAAACTGGGCTGTGAACTTTTCAGTGCTGCAGCACAAAACTAGAGGTAGAACAATAAATTGGGACATGCTCCCCACGTGCAGGCATGCTGCCTCTGATACTGTAGTTGTCATGACTAGTAGCCATTGACAGTCCTCTTATCTTCTGTGGGCCAGCCCTGATGTAAAACCATAAATCAGGGCAGGTCCAGGCTTGTCCTAGCAGAACAAAACACATTGGGGGTGATTTGTGAGTGCCTGGTGATGTGAAAGGTGAATTTAGCAGAATAATAACCTCAAATTATTATTATCTCCCCAAAGCTTGAACCTACTGACTGGATAGTATGCCAAAACTCACTGAGGGAAATTTATATTTTGCACTCAGAACTAAAACTCTGCAAAGGTAATAGGAAAGAATGCAGGAGCAAGAGATTTAATAGCAAAGAAATGAGTGTCCATATTTATTTTATACTTAGCAAAATAATTGTCACAAGCCTCACAGTGGTATCAGGCTTGGGTTGGCAGGATCTGACACCGAGGAGGGAGGAAACACAGGGGGAAAGGAAACCTGGGCTGGAGGAACACCCTGACTTCAGCTGACTTTTCCTCATTCACATGGAGGAGGCTTTGCCTGTGTATTTTGGACATGAGGCTGGGCAATAAACACCCTCATCTTGCATGAGCAGCACCTATTCCAAAACAAACTACCCTATATGGAAATGCCCTTAATATTCATCGTGTATCGTATTTCGGCAACCCTTTTCATAACAGAATGACCCAAAGGAACTTCTATGTGTTGGTGTACCTTCCTTAAGCATATGAGGATTTTGAAGTGAAAAGATTGCAGATTTACTTTATCATGAAAGATCTTGCATATATCTCTTAAAACTATATTTACTTACTACAAAAACAATGATTTGTGTCTCTTACTTTCATCCCCTAATAAAGGGCCTTTAAAAACAGTTTTTTGTTTTCTGCTTTGACTTGATTACATCATTTTCCCCAGCTGCTCATTCTGATAAAGCAGGAAAGCTGATGTCACTCACCAATACTCCAGCCCTTTCTCGGTGATAACCTTCTTAAGGCACCTTACATCATCTGCAATATCATCATCGAGGAGATCTGTAGAGGAGAATGATGAAGACAAGTTAACCAAGACCAAACCTGAGCCCAGATATAGATCCCAACTGAGGCCTTAAAGGCACAAGAAATGTATCTCTGGTGATAGGGGGTCATAGACATTCAGTGATTCAGAGAAAGCTCTTGGTAGGCTTATCTCCTCCCAGTTTGTTTCCTCCTGGTTGACATGATAAGGCATGATGCTTCATAATAACAATGAACATAACCTCCAACATGTTGAGCACCCAAACCAGGATGTGTTTCTTCCTGGCCGTGCTCCCACGTGAGTTACATCACCTGCACGAGATCACAGAACCCAAAAGACTCATTTTTTCCAGTGCTGTACTCTCCTGGCATGCAAAAACATGTGTGTCATGGTGCTGCAAGAGATTGTGGCCCCGAAAAAGTGCTTTTTTCAGGATGATATTGCAGCACTCAAAATGGCCGCCATGCTCGTGCGAAAAAACGGGATGTCCTGGGACACTTGCAAGGTATGAACAAATATCATAAGAATGACAAACAGATTAATATGCAGTAAGAAACCACCCTGCATGTCAACAAGCATAGGGGCCCTCTAGGGTGGTCAACAACCTTTTTCAGCCGTGGGCTGGTCCACCATCCCACAGACCATGTGGTGGGCCAGACTATATATTTTTTTGGGGGGGGGATGAACGAATTCCTATGCCCCACAAATACCCTAGAGATGCATTTTAAATAAAAGCACACATTCTACTCATGTAAAAACACGCTGATTGCACGGGCTTAGGTTGCTTAACCCTATTCTAGAGGACAATTCTCTTACTTGAAGATGTTCTCTATTTGAGGGCAGTGGCGTAGGAAGGTCAGGTGGTACCCGGTGCGGAAAATTTCTTGTCACCCCCACCCCACATTGATTTATTTTATTTTAATTTTGCCTGTAAAAATGGTTTGACTTTATTTCATATTTTCTTACAAAGGAATGTTGCTCCCTTCCAAGGCCTTTTCCAACTGGCCCAGGGGGTGGGGCCCAGGCCCTCACACTCCCAGCTACAAAACTGCAGAGTTGTTCTGCTATTGCTTTCCTGTTCCAAGTGTCTAATGTGTTTTAAAATGTCCTTAAGCAGTCGGTGGCACTTTAAGTTGTTTCTTCTCCTCCCCCCCCCTTTTGCTCTGTTGGGGTGGGTGGGATGGATATCTGGTTGGGGATTAATTTTCATCTGATTCCCTGGTGGCCCGCTGGAATGTGGAGTTAACTAGGGCTATTGACTGTCTCCCAAGCACCCTCTCCGATTGCATGGAGCCCGGACAGCCCTGTGGTTTCCCCCAGAGATGAGGGCAAGGAAACAATTGCTGAGACGACTAGAGCGCCGGTGGCAGAGAACTCATTCTGAACCGGACCAGACACGGGTTAGAGCTCAACGTTGAGCGTACCAAGCGGTGATAGCCACGGCGAATAAGACTTTCTTCACTGCCTCTATTGCATCTGCAGAAAATAGTAGCAGGAGACTCTTTCAGGTGGTCCACAATTTAACAGAACCACCTTTACCACCGGAGCCTTGTAAAGACCCCAAGATCTCCTGCAACGATTTTGCAAAGTTTTTTGCAGATAAAATCACTCATATTCGGAAGGAGCTAGATACCACCGTGGGAGCAGGGCTGGGGTGGGAGAGTGCTAGAGCCCTGTCTGGTCAAGTTGCATGGAATCAATTTCAATCCGTTACCCCCGAGGATGTGGACAGGCTGCTTGGACGCGTGAAACCAACCACCTGTCTCCTTGATCCTTGCCCATCCTGGCTAATAAAAGCAAGCCGGGAAGGGCTGGGCGATGGGCTCTGCAGGGTGGTGAATGCTTCCCTCTGTGAGGGAGCTTTCCCAGACCCGCTGAAAGAAGCGGTCATTAAACCGCTTCTTAAAAAAACATCTTTAGACCCAGCCAGTATGGCCAACTATCGCCCAGTCTCAAATATTCCATTCTTGGGAAGGTGATTGAGAGGGTGGATGCTGAACTCCAGGCACGCCTGGAGAATGCAGACCATTTGGATCCCTTCCAATCGGGATTCAGGCTTCACCATGGGACTGAAACTGCCTTGGTCGTGCTGGTCGATGATCTCCGGTGGGCTATGGACAAAGGTGAAAGCTGTTTTCTAGTTCTGCTGGATCTCTCAGTGGCTTTTGTTACAATCGACCATAACATCCTTCTGGACCATCTAGAGGGCACTGTTATTACAGTGGTTCCACTCTTTCCTCCAGGCAGTATCCAGAAAATGGGGGGGGGGATGAGTGTTCAGACCCCGGGGCCCTCACTTGTGGGGTGCCTCAGGGTTCTGTCCTCTCCCCCATGCTTTTTAACATCTACATGATGCTGCTGGGAGAGACCATCAGGGGGTTTGGGCTGGGTGTCCATCAATATGCGGATGATACCCAGCTCTACCTCTCTTTCAAATCAGAACCAGTGAAGGCGGTGAAGGTCCTGTGTGAATGTCTAGAGGCGGTTGGAGGATGGATGGCGGCTAATGGATTGAGGTTGAATCCTGACAAAACAGAAGTACTGTTTTTGGGGTACAGGGGGCCGGCTGGTATGGACGACTCCCTGGTCCTGAATGGGGTAACTGTGCCTCTGAAGGACCAGGTGCGCAGCCTGGGAGTCATTTTGGACTCACGGCTGTCCATGGAGACGCAGGTCAATTCTGTGTCCAGGGCAGCTGTTTACCAGCTCCATCTGGTACACAGGCTGAGACCCTACCTGCCCACGGACTGTCTCACCAGAGTGTTGCAAGCGCTAGTTATCTCCCGCTTGGACTACTGCAATGCGCTCTACGTGAGGCTACCTACCTTTAAAGGTTACCCAGAAACTGCAATTAATCCAAAATGTGGCAGCTAGACTTCCAGTTGGTCGCCCAGTAATAGCAGACGGGAGCTCTTTTGGCTGAAAGAGCCACAGCGCAGTGAAGCAAGGAGAGACCGCAAGAGCGACGCGTTCCCCTGGGGAAAACCTCAGATTGGGCATTCTGAGGACCTGGTGATCCTGTGGGTGCCTTCTGGCGACTCCCCCACTCCCCCGGTAAGCTCGTAGGAGCCCCAAGAGCGAGTGGGGTTGGAGACGCGGCACAGCGGAAACGACTGCTTCCTTCACAGCGCGAAGCTCCGAGTCTGGGGTTTGTGAGCGGCCAATTCCTTCAAAAAAAAGGACTTAAAATTTGGAACTGTAAGTAAAGGATAAAGTTTAAATTTGATCAAGATTAGCAGGGAAAAGGGGATTTAAAAACGGAGGTCGATCCCTTTCGTTGAACTAAAGTAGAGTCGGTAAACGAGGACCGAAGCCTCAATAGTAAAAAGACTGTTTGAAAGTTTGCAAGTCAAATCTAATGCCCCCCTTCTGCAGGGGGAAGAGGGGGGATTACTTTAAGTTTTAAAAACCCTGAGAGACTGTGATTAAAGTAAAGAAGCTCCTTCATTCTGCTGCGGACCCCCGGGACGGAAAGGCTAGACTCCATTGTGACATCACAATGGAAGGTGAAACATTTGATTTTCGTTTCCATTGACTCTGTTATTTTGTATCCTGCTGCTGTATGGACACATTTTAAAGTAGCTAAAAGTATCTGTTACCTCCAGGATTGTCTGTTAAATTCCAAAAGGGACTTGGAAAATTTCTTTTACAGCCTGGCTTTTAACAACAAGGAACAGTGGGGCTGCGGGCTGCCTGGGCTGGCACCTGTGGGACTGGTGGTGGGAATCTGTTTTTCTCTCTCACTCCACTAAACTGTGGGACTGAACTTGAAATTCTTGAGTGCCGACTAACCAGATTAGGGAACTGGAAGACATGGCTCTAAAAGTGCAGCCTTTGAGGAATCAGTAATGAAAATCAGAGACAATACAAATCATAATACAGAGGGTATAGAAAAATTGAATAAAAAGTTTGAAGATTTAAGTGTTGAATTTAAGTGTTGAATTAAAAGTTGGCACAGCTTGAGACAGTTAGAGTTTCAGATTTGGAAGGAATACAATATGAAAATTCAAATTCTATTGCATTTCGTCAGATGAAGGAATGGGAATCTCATCTAAGATTGAGAGGGGTCCCTCAATTGGAAGAAGAGCCACTCAAGGAGTGTTTGACAGACCATTTTGTGGCGTGGTGGGACTTGAAAAAGGAAGAAGTTGAACTGTGGATAGAAAAAGCCTATAGGTTTGGCCCCAAAAAGGATTCAAAAATAACTTATGACTGCATAGTGGTCTTCAAGACCAAGGAACAAAGAGATATCATTTTGGGACTGCAAAAAAGTTTTAAAAATTCAGGATAAACCCATTGTCCTTTTCAAAGAGATTCCTAGACACTTCTTGAACCTGAGATCCAGTTTCACAGAATTGGCAAACATCTTGAGGAGGAAAAAAATCTTCTTCAGGTGGGAATTCCCAGAGGGTCTTTCCTTCAAATTTGGAGGAAGAAAGCAAAGAATTAAGACTGTTGGAGAGAAAGACAGATTTCTGCAAAAGTACTTGGTGGAACTTGGACTGGAAAGCCTGCAGCTGCCGGGGTAGGAGCGGTGACCCCTTAATCTAACATCATGGCTTTGAGAATTTATTCTTGGAATGTTAATGGCTTAATCTCCTCAGAAAAGGAGACAGGTTTACTATGTTTTGGAAAAGCAGAATTTGGATGTAATTTGTTTACAGGAAACACACATTACAAGGCTACATAGAAAAATTTTATCAAATAAAAAACTCGATCAAGAATTTATTTCTTCAGATAAAGTGAAAAAAAGAGGAGTGGTTTTCTATATCAAAGAAAAATGGAACCCAAAAGTGATCTTTAAAGAGGAGGGGGGAAGATACATTCCAGTGGAAATTACAGCACAAGGTGAAAAATATTTGTTACTGGGAATCTATGCAGCAAATCAGAATTCTTAAAAAACTTGGAAACAAGTCTTTTGGAACACTTGGATTACAAATTAAATTTAATGGGAGATTTGAATGGAGTGGCATCTACCTTAATGGACAGAACTCAGAGGCAGAAAATATTAAATGCTGGCAGACTACCTAAAACTTTCTTTGAAATAACTGACAAATTCGACCTGTCAGACATATGGAGAGTTAGAAATCCAACTGAAAAAGACTTCACATTCTATTCAGATGCAAATTTGTCATTTTCGAGAATCAATTATTTATGGATATCCAGAGACCTGGTTCCTAAAGTATCAAAAACGGAAATTTGCCCTAAAACTTGCTCAGATCATAATGCAGTTTTTATGGAATTGAAAATGTCCTTACAGGGTTCTTTCAGATGGAGAATGAATGATTATTTGTTGAGGAGTACCCAAATTGTAAATAAAGCCCAAAAAGCCCTAAAGGACTATTTTGAAATTAATATGAACCAGGGAATGGAAGCAAGGGTTATTTGGGACGCCAGCAAAGCAGTAATGAGAGGATTTCTCATTCAACAAAATTCAATTAGGAGAAAGATACAGAATGAGAAAAAAGATAAAATTCTGGAACAACTAAAAGATCCTTAGAGGCAATCCAAAGAATTTGCAGACACAAAAGGAAATCAAAGCCTTACAGACTCAATACTCACAAATTATTAATCAAGAAATAGAATGGAAACTAAAGAGGATGAGACAAAGGAACATTGAATCTGCAAATAAATTTGGGAAACTTTTACCTTGGCAATTAAAAAAGAGGCAAAAACAAAGTACTATCACAATTATTGTGACAGAAGGAAAGTCTGTGGAGAACCCTGTGGCATAAGAAGAAGATAAAATCTTGGAAAAAATAAAGGAAGGAGAGAAGAAACTGAGGGTGAAACCAAAGTCCCAGGAAATTTTAAAAGAAACAAAGCTTTACCAAGTACAATATATGAAAATGATGAATCAGGAAATAGAATGGAAGATTAAACAGATGAGACAAAAGACATTTGAATCGGCAAATAAGTGTGGGAAACTGCTGGCTTGGCAATTGAAAAAAAGACAAAAATTAAATACCATTACGAATTTGGAAGTGGAAGGAAAGAATATACAGAATCCAGCTGAAATTAGAAGGTGCTTCCAGAGGTATTTCAAACAATTATATACACAAGAAAAGCAGAATGAAATGGACATTGATAAATTTCTGGAAATAAATGGACTACAAAAAATTTCCCAAGAAAATAAATTAATGCTTGATTATAGAATAACAGATCAGGAAGTAGAAGGGGCCATACAGAATATGCAATTAGGTAAATCTCCAGGACCGGATGGACTGACTTCTAGATACTACAGAACTTTGAAAGAATGGTTAATACAACCATTAAAGGAAGTCTGTAATGAAATATTGGAAGGGAAAAGGGCACCTGAGTTGTGGAAAGAAGCATACATTACACTTATACCAAAATCAGAGTCTGAAAAGACGCAACTTAAAAACTACCATCCCATATCACTGCTTAATGTGGATTATAAAATCTTTGCAGACATTTTGGCTAAAAGATTAAAAAAGGTCCTAGCAGAAGAAATTCATAAAGACCAAGCGGGCTTTCTCCCGGGCAGGCATTTGTCTGATAATACGAGGAATATAATTAATATTCTAGAAAAGCTACAAGTGAAGATTAATACTAAAGCAGTTCTGATTTTTGTGGACGCGGAGAAAGCCTTTGATAATATTTCTTGGAGTTTTATGAAGAAGAATTTATCGGGGATGGGGGTTGGTAAAGGTTTTGGAAATGGCATAGGTGCAATTTACTCAGAACAAAAGGCTAAATTAATTGTGAATAATGTAGTGACGGAAGAATTCAAGATTGAGAAAGGAACACGACAGGGTTGCCCAATCTCTCCATTGCTTTTTATTTCGGTCCTGGAGGTTTTGTTAAATATGATTAGAAGGGACCAATTGGTTAAAGGTATACAAGTGGGAGCTAAACAGTACAAACTGAAAGCATTTGCAGATGACTTAGTATTGACTTTACAGGAGCCAGAATCAAGTACGAAAAGAGTATTAGAATTGATTCAAGAATTTGGCCAGGTAGCAGGTTTTAAGATGAATAAGATGAAAACTAAAGTTCTGGAGAAAAATCTGAATGTGATTGAGAGAGAGAAGTTTCAGAAGGAGACAGGTCTGACACTGGTTAAGAAAGTGAAATATTTAGGGGTCAATATGACTGCTAAGAATGTGAATTTATTTAAGGATAACTATGAAAAATGTTGGACTGAAGTGAAAAAAGACTTAGAAATATGGTCAAATTTGAAGCTATCGTTGCTAGGCCGAATTGCTGTGATAAAAATGAATGTATTGCAAGATAAAGTTATATCAAGTACAATATATGAAATTGACGAATCAGGAAATAGAATGGAAGATCAAACAGATGAGACAAAGGACATTTGAATCAGCAAATAAGTGTGGGAAATTGTTGGCATGGCAAATGAAAAAAAGACAAAAGCTTAATACTATTACGAACTTGGTGGTAGAAGGAAAGAGTATACAGAACCCTGTGGAGATTAGAAAGTGTTTTCAGAAGTATTTTAAACAGTTATACACGCAGGAGACTCAGAAAGAAATGGACATTGATCGGTTTTTGAGAACAAATGGACTACAAAAAATCTCTCAAGAAAGTAAATCGATGTTAAATTCTATAATAACTGACCAAGAGGTGGAAGGAGCCATTCAGGATATGAAATTGGGCAAATCTCCAGGGCCAGATGGTTTGACTGCAAAATATTATAAATCTTTGAAAGAATGGTTAATGCAGCCTCTGAAAGAAGTTTGCAATGAAATACTACGGGGAGGAAAGGCACCCGAGTCATGGAAAGAAGCTTATATTACACTCATACCAAAAACAGAAGCGGAAAGGACACAGCTTAAGAACTACCGTCCCATATCCTTACTTAATGTGGATTACAAAATTTTTGCAGAAATTATGGCTAAAAGATTAAAAAACGGACTGGTGAAAGAAATCCATAAAGACCAAGCGGACTTTCTTCCGGGGAGGCATTTGTCAGATAATACGAGGAACATAATTAACATTTTAGAAAAATTACAAGTTAATATTAATACTAAAGCGGTTCTAATATTTGTGGATGCGGAGAAAGCCTTTGATAATATTTCTTGGAGTTTTATGAAGAAAAATTTACAGGGAATGGGGTAGGCCAAAGTTTTGAAAACGGTATAGGTGCAATATATTCGGAACAAAAAGCTAAGTTGATCGTAAATAATGTAGTTACAGAAGAGTTTAAGATTGAGAAAGGAACAAGACAGGGTTGCCCAATCTCCCCATTGCTTTTTATATCGGTCCTGGAGGTCCTGCTTAATATGATCAGGAAAGACCAATTGGTTAAAGGTATACAACTCAGAGCTAAACAGTATAAACTGAAAGCTTTTGCTGATGATTTGGTTTTGACACTACAGGAGCCAGAATCCAGCACAAAAAGAGTATTGCAATTAATCCAAGAATTTGGTCAAGTAGCAGGATTTAAATTGAATAAGGCCAAAACTAAGGTGTTAGAGAAAAATCTTACAGAGATTGAGAAAGAGAGGTTTCAGAAGGAGACAGGATTAACATTGGTCAAGAAAGTGAAATATCTAGGGGTTTACATGACTGCTAAAAATGTGAATTTATTTAAAGATAATTATGAAAAATGTTGGACAGAAGTGAAGAAGGATTTGGAAATATGGTCAAAATTGAAGTTATCATTGTTGGGCCGAATTGCTGCGATAAAGATGAATGTATTGCCTAGGATGTTGTTTTTGTTTCAAACATTGCAGATTTTGGACAAGATGGACTGTTTCAAGAAATGGCAGAGAGATATTTCGAGATTTGTCTGGCAGGGCAAGAAACCAAGAATAAAATTTAAGATTTTAACTGATGCTAAAGAAAGAGGTGGATTTGCCCTGCCAGACCTTAAACTTTATTATGAATCAGCCGCATTTTCCTGGCTGAAAGATTGGCTGCTTCTTGAAAACACGGACATTTTGGACTTAGAAGGTTTTGACAATGTCTTTGGATGGCATGCATATTTATGGTATGACAAGGTTAAAGCACATAAGGCCTTTAAGAACCATATTGTCAGGAAAGCATTGTTTAATGTCTGGGTGAGATATAAGGATTTGTTGGAAAGTAAAACACCAAGGTGGCTGTCACCAATGGAGGCTAAGGCTCTGAAAAAAACTAACATGGAGACAAATTGGCCAAAATATTGTGAAATTTTAGAACAAGATGGTAACAAACTAAAGCTGCAGAGTTTTGACAAATTAAAAACTAAGGTTCGAGACTGGCTTCATTACTATCAAATAAGGGAGGCATATAACCTAGATAAAAAGATTGGTTTCCAGGAGGAAAAATCAAAATTGGAAACAGAACTGTTAGATCCTAAAACTAAGAATTTATCAAGAATGTATAACTTGCTGTTGAAATGGAATACACAGGATGAAACGGTTAAATCTGTTATGATTAAATGGGCACAAGATTTTGGACATAATATTATGTTTGCTGACTGGGAACAGTTATGGACCACAGGTATGAAATTTACGGCTTGTAATGCCCTAAGAGAGAATATAATGAAAATGATTTACAGGTGGTACTTAACCCCATTCAAGCTAGCAAAAATCTATCATTTGCCAGACAGTAAATGTTGGAAATGTAAAGAGACAGAGGGTACATTTTTTCACCTTTGGTGGACATGCCCAAGGATTAAGGCTTTCTGGGAAATGATATATAATGAACTGAAAAAGGTATTTAAATATACCTTTCTGAAGAAACCAGAGGCCTTTCTACTGGGAATGGTCGGCCAAGTGGTGCGAAGGGAGGATAGTACTTTCTTTATGTATGCTACAACAGCAGCAAGAATACTCATCGGGAAGTACTGGAAGACACAAGAACTGCCCACCCGAGAAGAATGGCAGATGAAAGTGATGGACTATATGGAGCTGGCTGAGATGACCGGCAGAATTCGAGACCAGGGAGAAGGGTCGATGGAAGAAGATTGGAAAAATTCAAAATATATCTTCAAAAGTATTGTAATATAAAAGAATGTTAGAAGGAGGTTGGAAAAAGAATATTAGGTCGTTTCGGTAGATACGATATAATGGAATAAGCAAAGATGAGTTGATGAACTTGATGAAATAGAGGAGGTTTAATTATATTACTTTAATTCTAAAATACGTAAATGAAAACAATATTAGAGGGATTTGCTGGAAATACGATTTGAACTAGAATACAAAATTGGGAGGTGAGAGGAGGTCAATGGAAATAAGTAAAGGGAAAAGGATATGTAAAGGTTTAACCTGCTTTTGTTTTATTTTTAACTTAATACATTTTTATATTTTTTGTTAAGTTTTTTTTTTATTCTATCTTATTGTTCTTTTTACTTGTTTATTTTTTGTTCTGTTATGGTCAAAATTTTCTTTGTACTCTGTATGGCTTTTCTTTTTTTCTGTGATTTTAAATTTGGAATAAATATTATTTAAAAAATAAAAATAAAAATGAATGTATTGCCAAGAATGTTATTTCTGTTTCAATCACTGCAAATTTTGGACAAAATGGACTGTTTCAAGAAGTGGCAGAGAGATATTTCCAGATTTGTCTGGCAGGGCAAGAAGCCTCGTATAAAATTTAAGATTTTAACTGATGCTAAAGAAAGAGGTGGATTTGCCCTGCAAGCTTGCAAAAATTTATCATTTGCCCGATAATAAATGTTGGAAATGTAGTGAAACTGAAGGTACATTCTTTCACCTTTGGTGGACATGCCCAAAGATTAAGTCATTCTGGGAGATGATCTATAATGAAATGAAAAAGGTATTTAAATATACCTTTTTAAAGAAACCAGAGGCCTTTCTCCTGGGCATCGTGGGCCAATTGGTGCCAAAGAAGGACAGAGTTTTTTTTATGTACGCCACAACAGCAGCAAGAATACTTATCGCAAAGCATTGGAAGACACAAGAGCTACCTACCAGGGAAGAATGGCAGATGAAGCTGATGGATTATATGGAATTGGCGGAAATGACTGGCAGAATCCGAGACCAGGGAGAAGAGTCGGTGGAAGAATATTGGAAAAAATTTAAAGTATATTTACAGAAATATTCTAAAATTAATGAATGTTAGAAGGATGCTGGAAAGAAGCTATATGACTTTAGTAGAAATATTATAAAGAATTAAGTATGAATAGATTGATATTGGGTAAAGGTGTAAATTTAAGGCTAAATTGCGTAAAGATAAATTATGGAACTAAATTTGAGAAAGAGGGAAAGGACTTGCTGGAATAATTAATTGAACTAGAATACAAAAAAGGAGGTGTGAGGAAGTCGAGGAAATAAGCAAATGAAAGATAAGGATATGAAAATACAGGGTCCTTTTTATTTTCGTTTGTTCTTTTTTTGGGTTTTTTAAATGCTTTTGTTTTCTTTTTTGTTCCCCCCCCCTCTTTTTTTGTATTGTTGATGTTTTGTATTACTGTATTTATTTTTGTGTTTGAGGTTTTGTAATTGTTTATTTCTTGTATTTTTCTTTTGTTCCTCTTTTCTTTTCTTTGTAATGTTTAAACTTTAATAAATATCTTTTTAAAAAAAATTGTCATTAATGGGCCGGATTTCGGTGGTCAAGATGAATGTATTGCCAAAGATTATTTTTTCCCCCAAGCCCTCCCAATTATTGACAATGTGAAATGTTTTAAAGAATGGCAGAAAGCTTTATCTAGATTTATCTGGCAGGGGAAAAACCCCAGAATTAAATATAAATTACTAACAGATTCCAAAGAAAGAGGGGGATTTTCCCTGCCAGATTTGAAGATCTATTTTGAAGAAGCAGCGCTTTGCTGGATTAAGGAATGGATACAACTAGAAGAAACTGATGTCTTAGACTTGGAGGGATTTGATAATGTGTTTGGATGGCATGCATATTTATGGTATATAAAGTAAAGGCCCATAATGCTTTTAAAAACCATGTAATTAGGAAACTCTATATAATGTTTGGATAAAATATAAAGATCTCTTAGAAAGGAAGACACCCAGATGGCTCTCACCAATGGAGGCAAAGGCCCAGAAAAAGTTAAATATGGAAACCAAATGGTTGAGATATTAAGACCTGCTACTGGAAGACAAAGAGGGTTATAAATTAAAACAATTTGATCAAATTAAAGATAAGATAAATTGGTTACATTATCACCAGATCAATGAATTGTATAAATTAGATAAGAAAAATGGTTTTGCTTCAGAAAAAACTAAATTGGAAACAGGAATTGTTGGACTCTAAAGTTAAAAATTTGTCCAAAATGTGTAATTTATTGTTGGAATGGCATACAAAGGATGAACAAGTTAAATCTGTGATGATAGACTGGGCAAGAGATGTGGGACACAACATAATGTTTGAAGACTGGGAAAGATTGTGGAAGAAAGGGGTCAGGTTCACTGCATGTACAGTGTTAAAGGAAACTATTATGAAAATGATGTATAGATGGTACTTAACCCCTGTAAAATTAGCAAAAATTTACCACAACAGTGATAATTTATGTTGGAAATGTAAAGAAAAGGAGGGTACCTTTTATCATATGTGGTGGACCTGCCCCAAGGTGAAAGACTTCTGAGAGAAGATTTATAATGAACTGAAAAAATGTTGAAATATACATTTATTAAAAAACCAGAGACCTTTCTTCTTGGAATAACAGGTCTGGAATTGCCCAAGAAAGATGTTAAATTGTTTTTGTATGCTACATCTGCAGCAAGAATTTTGTTAGCTAAGAATTGGAAAACACAAGAAGTCCCAACAGTGGAGGAATGGCAGATGAAGATGATGGGTTTTTCGGAGCTAGCCAACCTGACTGGAAGAGTCCGTGACCAGAAGGAGGAGGAGTACCAGGAGGAGTCCAACTTGTACCTAAAACTCTGTACAAACCTGCACCAGAGAATTGTAGAGTTGGAAGGGATCCCTGAGTGTCATCAAGGGGCAATGCAGGAATCTCAACTAGACCATCCCTGACCGATGGCCACCCGTCTCCTGTTTTTCCCCCTCAGCCAGGACACACAACAACGGAGACTGGAGGTGGGGGGAAAGATAAATTTTGACAATGGGGCAGATTTGTCAGGCGCATGCAGGCCCAGCTTGAAGACTTTACACAGAGAGGAACCCCACCCGCATGTAACGTAACAGGCAGGGAGCCAGCTCAGATAGAGAGAAAGACATGGGAGGGGGGGACAAAAGAGTACCAAAGTCTGTCCATTTTTTCCTCTTTGCGATGGTGGCACTAGGGCTCTGGGATGCAGCCAGAGCTCTGGGACCACCCTCCCTAAAATATTTACTTGTCTTCAATGTATTGCTACCACCATTCTATAGTACTGATCCTTTTTAAATTAAACATTTTCTCTAAAATTAAAATGGCAGAAGTAATCAGTAGCATACATATCAAAGGAAAGGTGAGAGAATAGTTCCTAATTGATACAAGGGAGACACAGATACACAAGCACACAGAAGTAAATAATCCAAGTGTGGCTTGATGTTATGTCATCGAGTTGTTAAGTGTTATGCTGTTAGGTGAAGCTAAATCCCCACTGACCCATGACAGAGGAAATGTGGCACATTCATTTTATGTTACACGGATAAGATTATTTTAGTACGGTAACCCCATCCTGAGAATGGAGGCTAGCACGTGAGCAATTTCTGCGAAGGTTGGTGATACATTTCATCCTCAAAATTACTGCAACGTTTTCTCCAGAAGACATTTTCTTTTCTTTTTTTAATGATATTTGTTAGGAATTTTAAAATTACAGAAAAGACAAAGAGAAAAAGAAGGGAAAAAAACAAAAGAAAAACAAGCCACAATCAAACAATACAAATTAATAAAAATCAAAATCAAAAAATAACAACAAAACACGTAACACAACACAATCAAAAAGCAAAAATAAACCACAAAAATTTAAAAACAAATCCAATATTCCCAAATCCTTAACTGTCATTACCTTATTTCATTGACCTCCTCACTCCTCCCTTTTTCTAGTTGTATTCTAGTTGTATTCTAGTTGTATTCTAGTTGTTAATTATCACAGCAAATCCTTTCCCTTTTTTCATAGTATTCTGTCATTAAATTACCTTAATCTATTTTAACCTTATCTTACTATAAAAGACCCTAAAACTTAAATCTTATTTATACCAATTTCTCATAACCATAACATATTCTTACATAATTCTTTTAACATTTCTGCTAAAGCCAAATAATTTCCTTCCAACATTTTTCTAACATTCATCAATTTTATAAAACAATCCTAATAATTTTTTTTTTAAAAAAAACTTTCTTCCAATCTTCATCCAATGTCTCTTCCTCCTGGTCCCGGGTTTTGTCAGTCCTTTCTATCCCATCAATCTAGCTCATTAACCTGGTAATCTTATGTCCGAGGCCCTTAAGTCTCTTCTATGTCCCTTCCGCAGCTCTTCTTCATATTTATACCTGTACTTTACTTTATCTCCTGCTCCTTTTACTCATGGAAACTCCAGCTTGACAATATTTTTGTCCCTTCTCGACAAATCAGCCCCTTTTCCATATTCCATACTAAACTCCATGTGGTATTTAAAAACATAGTTCAAAGTCCCTCCAGAATTAAGAACCACCACAACCCCAAACATCTCACGGCCCATTGCCAGACTTGAAGAGTCAAAACATCCCTGCATAGGGGGGTCCATCCAACCCCCCATTTCCAAACCAAACAAAACTGTATCTCTCCAAATCTGGCTTTTTCCTAGTTCATTTGTCAAATCCAACAACTCATGTTCCTGCTGGGCCACAGCTCCCTCCATCTCTGCCACCCGAGGTCCAGCAACATCCTCTTCCCTCATCTGATCTGTCAGAGCACACTCCTGAGTTGATTCCTGGGTGGATTCTATATAATTACCCACAACCTGTCCAAAATTTCTGATCGCAACAGTCATCAAGTCCGTCTTCTCATGTAACTGTTCCAATAGGGCACTTGTCTTGCAGAAAGCACGCACCAGAGCTTCTGAATACATTGTTATGAAGGTCAGAAGTCTGTTCCCACGATCTTAAACTGTTGCAGCTGCAGAGCTCCCTGGTTCAGATTTAGTAACAGTTTCACAGGCTCCCTCTAGGGGAAGAACTTCTATTTGTATCCATCTCTTTTCTTTTTCCCCCTTTTCTTTTAAAGGCAGATCTAACAACAAAGTTTCCTTTTTCAGATATTTTGTCAATATTTGTTCCTTTAAAATGCGAAGGAGAGCAATGGAATCACTATGTTTCTCTTCCTTTAACTGTCTGTCAAAGACGTTTGTCTATAGTCAATGAGCTTCCCAAAAACGTCAGTCTTGACACCCCGCTCCCAGGTTCAAGACGGTGGAAAATTACTTTTCTTTACACTCTCTTCTGCAGGTTTAAACAGTCCGGAAAAAATCCCCCCTCTTCTCCTGCTTCCGAGGGGGGTTCAACAATTTTAGATGATGAAAGTTAATCCTTTACAGACAATTTTCTGAACTCTAGTTTGCCATGTCTTTGCTTTAATCTATCTACAAGAAACGGAAGGCTGACTTCCTGTTTAGACCTTCCCGTTTCAGTGCCAAATTAAGAGGAATTTCTTGATCCAATTTTCCTTTCTACTCACAGGTCGTTGTTTAAAGTCCAATTGTCCGAAATTAAGCTACTCACGGGTAGTTGTTTTAATAGCCAAATTGTCCCAGGAAAAAGGCAGCGCTCTCCGGCAACGGCTATGCGGCTTCGCTCCACGGAAGAAGCAGTTGACTCTCAACACCGCGCCACTTGCCCCTCTTCGCTCCCAGAAGACATTTTCTCTGTATCACTGAAAGTGCTGCAGACACACACACACATTTCTTCTGCACAATTTGAATTACTTGGAGGCCACTCTGAGAATCTGTATACAGTGGTACCTCGGGTTAAGTACTTAATTCATTCCAGAGGTCCATTCTTAACCTGAAACTGTTCTTAACCTGAAGCACCACTTTAGCTAATGGGGCCTCCCGCTGCCGCTGCGCCCCCGGAGCACGATTTCTGTTCTCAACCTGAAGCAAAGTTCTTAACCTGAGGTACTATTTCTGGGTTAGCGGAGTCTGTAACCTGATGCGTATGTAACCTGGAAGCGTCTGTAACCCGAGGTACCACTGTAAATACTTGGTCATTAAAAATAACATAAAACAAATGCCAACACACAATGAAAACTCTGCACAAAAGCATGGTTTTATAAGCTTTGTCACCAGCCTTGGGGAGAGGGGTGGGAATGTGGTTTGCTGTACTTAGCCTTGAGATGGGAGACTGAAAGGGCTTAAAAATAAAAATAAAAGTCTTGTGTCTAGGAATATTTTTCTGCAAAAGCATCAGACTGGTTGTCAAAAGTGTGAACTTCATTAATAGACCCTATTTAAAGGAATTGGTCAGTTAGCCACAGAATTGCTTTGCTGATTTTTCTCATCTTCTTTTAATTACTGGCACACAACTGCTTTGGGGGTTGGAAGTGTGGTCAAGCACATAGCGTTCTGAAACTATTAATCAAGCTCCTTTGAGTGTATGTCAGCAAAAGCAATAAATGCAGTAATATTAGCAAAGCTTTCAAACCCTAGAGCTGAGAAGGCAGGTCTGAAAAAATCACTGAGGGCCACGTGTGTAGAAGCAAGCCACGTGGGCTAACTATGAACTAAGCATATTGCATTGATCAGATGCATCACTCAAAATAACTTCCCATCCTCCTCCGTTGTTTGCTCGCCTGACTGCATCCTACCCATGCAAGGGAGACTGGCGGGGGGAGGAGGATCCCACCTTCCTGCCGGGGAGGCTGGGGGCAAAGAGGAGGCCAACCGGCCCAGTGCCCAGGGCGCTGCTGAGCTGCTCCCCCGGCGCCACGCGCGGGCAAAACGGGGCAGCAGCGCCGCCACTGTCCCACGTGCTCCGCTTGTCGGAGGGGGACGGGGGCCCAAAGCGGGACAGGCAGCGGCCTTGGCAGGCTTCCCCAACAGCCCAGAAAGTCGGCCTAGGGGAAGAAATTGAGTTGAAGCCAAGTGGATCCGGCCTTGCCTTGCCCTAGCCCCGCCCCCTGCCCACAAGCGAATCTGCTCGGCCTCGTCTCATTTTCTTCGCCTGGGCCGGGAAGCCCAGCGCCGGGTCCCAAACCACCTTGGAGGGTAGGTAGGGCAGTAATGGTTCTTGATCATTTCCCCCGGGCCGGCCCGCCCCCCGCCCCCGGTTTGAGGGCAGTTCTGATTTAAACTTCAGGGGCCATAAAAGAGGAGAGCCCCAGGGTCCTTGACGGTCTCTAATCACTTCTACCACTTCAGGCTACCTTATTCTGCTATGCAGGTAAACCAGGCCTCCCTTACCAGGTAGGAAACTTGCATAATGATCACAGTTCGGGTGGCCATGTATATCCTCCCCTCTACTTAAAGTGTTGCCTGGTCTAAGTTCAGTTTAGAGATAAACAACCCTAAGAAGCAAGAACTGAAGAGGTCTTGAAGTTGCCCATCAGGACCTGGCGTCTGCTGAGCACGAGTCACTTGATGTATTCCACACTGTGGCAATATGTTTTTCTATTTAAATAATAGTAATTTAAATTAAATGTACATTAATTAAATTAAATTTGTTTTCTTGTAATTATACGAGTAATTTCATAACAATTATATCTAAATTTGCATATATACAAATAAACTGCCATATGCAAATTTTATGCAGACTGCATAACATTTTAAAAAAATTCCTTTAGGGATGCATGGTGGGGTGCTTTTATTTTTGGAACAGGGCACTGAAGCAGAAGGTCCCTCTCAGAACCTGGCCTAGGTCTCCAAATATGTATGTATGAAATAATAGGCTATAAAGTCTCATTACATAATTACCATTTGTTTCACAGTTCATGCTCTAACCTGCATCCTGCCCTTCTGGAAGTCTGCTTAGGTTCTCTCCCCCCCCCTCCAAATTGCACCAGGCAACTTCAAACCTGCTCAGGTTATCAAGTGGGGATTGCATCAGTCTGGTGAATCATGCACCTGTTGGTTAATGTGCTCAGGACATCCAAGCTGTCTTGGGAGTATAGGCTTTAGAGTAGGAAGTGTGGAACCAGGGGCCCAGAGGCCAAATCCAGTTCTCTTTATCCTGCTTTCAAGACTTTCCTCAGGCCAAGCACACACACACACACACACACACACACACACACACACTCTCTCTCTTTAGCATAGCTCATCATTAATGCCTGTTTGTGCATGCTTTCTCCCTAATAGATGCACTTTTGCATAAGTTTACTGGCTGGAGTATTGCATTGTGAAATTTGGGGAAATATCCATGGCCTGTCTCTTTTTAGAAATAAGCCACTCATCTTGAGACATACAGTACATGGCACAAGCAGGAAAAAAAGGGTCACTCACAATCACAGGAAATGTTGCATTTGTTCTGTGAGGGCCGCCTCTCATTAAAGCACCATTCCTGGCCGCTCAGATGGAATAGCCCGTAGTGTGGGACACCCTCTTCTGTCTCGTAGTATTCAGTGTTGTAATTAGCTGGGAATCCAGCCATACAGACATCTGGTAGGGAAGCAAAGTATAAAAACCAGGGACTCAGAGTGTCCTTTCTTTCCTAAAATCAGTTCCCAAACACAGAAACAGAAAAGCATTTTTAAAACTTCTCCAAAAATCCTGCTGTTTAAACACTTTCAAAACATTGACATAAACTTTCTTGGTTTTGACATTCTGAGTTTTGAAATGCTGTTGTTTCTATTTCAGTATTCTTAAAATAGCAATGTTTCTAACAGCTTTTAACATTTTCCTAAAACATTATGAATTATCCAGTGCTACCTTTAATCTTGGGGACGCGGGTGGCGCTGTGGGTTAAACCACAGAGCCTACGACTTGCCGATCATAAGGTCGGCGGTTTGAATCCCTGAGACGGGGTAAGCTCCCGTTGCTCGGTCCCTGCTCCTGCCAACCTAGCAGTTCAAAAGCACGTCAAAGTGCAAGTAGATAAATAGGTATCGCTCCGGCAGGAAGGTAAAAGGCGTTTCCGTGCGCTGCTCTGGTTTGCCAGAAGCGGCTTAGTCATGCTGGCCACATGACCTGGAAGCTGTACACCGGCTGCCTTGGCCAATAAAGCAAGATGAGCGCCGCAACCCCAGAGTCGGTCACGATTGGACCTAACGGTCAGGGGTCCCTTTACCTTTACCTTTACCTTTAATCTTGCAACTGATGAAGTTCATAAAAAATTATTATATCATAAATGTGTCAGCCTTTAAGGTGCCACAAGACTCTTTATTTTCAATCTTGCCTGCTCTGTCAGTTCTCATTTTTCAGATATGCCACATTATTTTAAAATGGTCAAAGATAATAACAATAATACTGTAAACAAAAAACCCAAACAAATCCATATAAATTGCTACACATGTCATCTAGAAATGAGAAACCAAAGGGAGGTTGGGATCCACAACAAATTGGGTGTACATTTATCCTAACAGAGCAGCTGGACATTGTACGTCCAACAAACAAGACTCACATTGTTTTACGTCAATACCGCGAAAGCCATCCAGCCCCAGATCTCTCAGCTTGTAAAACAATTCACAATCCTCAAACTTCCTTGTCTCATTTGCTACCATGAGCAGGCAGAATGACAGAAGGTGAAGTGTCTTCATTGCCGCACGTCTCTCAAGTCCAGAGCCTCAGCTTTTTATGGCCCCTGCCTTTGGACTGTAGGCTGCCCAATCCATGTTAAATTGCATCATGAGTTGGTTCCTGTTAGTCCTACTTCAAGTAGCTCTTTTGAAATCATTACTTTCAGTGGCCCCCTCACAGATGTTTGTGATTCTTTTCTTTTTTTCTTTTTAATATGAGCAAATTAAAAAAAAATCTCAAAGTATGTCCAAATGAGCCAACCCTTCTCTGGCATCTGATACCTTGTGGTCACATCCCTGGAACTAGAGACAAAGCATGTTTCTCATTTACAGTCAAAATAAATTAAAACAATTATTTAAAAAGATGGTTAAAAAGACTCTTCTTAAAAACCTAAAAATTCCCTTAAAAGAATCAAGTCTTCAAAAAAGTTATATGATCTAAGAAAGTTTAAAAGAATCCTTCCAAAAGAATTAAAAAATTATAATGTAGCACCTTAGAGACCAGCTGAGTAGTTTTCGTGTGCATGCACACTTCTTCAGAAACACTGAAACAGAAGTCACCAGACCCTTCTTTAGGTATACCCAGAACAAACTTAGTTGGTCTCTAAGGTGCTACTGGACATTAGTTAGAGAAATCAGTAGTTAGAGAAATAAAAGAAGCAAATCCTCTTTGCCAAAACAGCCCCTATTGGAATCAATGATTCATTCATTCACTTATTCAAGTTATATCCCACTTTGCCAACTCTATAGGGAGAGATTGACTATGTCATTAAGTTATTATTAATTGAGATTAGGAATACACTAGGGAGTAGGGAGAAATTCAGTTCAGTTCACATTTAAAGGCAAACCTACAAAATCTGCAGTTGCTGAAACAATACAGAAACTGAAACATCCATCCTTCAAAATTCGTCCTTCTCTGAATTGCAGCTTCCCAGCCAAAGAATGGGCACCAAAATTCATATACCAAGGTAAGGTGTGTCTAGAAATGCATAAATTAGTGTTTTTTTTAAAGCATCATGTTAGGGCCAGTGTGGTGTAGTGGTTAAGAGCGGTAGTCTCGTAATCTGGGGAACCGGGTTCGCGTCTCCGCTCCTCCACATGCAGCTGCTGGGTGACCTTGGGCCAGTCACACTTCTTTGAAGTCTCTCAGCCCCACTCACCTCACAGAGTGTTTGTTGTGGGGGAGGAAGGGAAAGGAGAATGTTAGCCGCTTTGAGACTCCTTAAAGGGAGTGAAAGGCGGGATATCAAATTCAAACTCTTCTTCTTCTTCTTCTCTAGGGGAAATTGGTTTGCAAAAATGTGTATATTATCATGAGGGCTGTTTTTAATGGCAAACTAATATGGAAACGTGGAGAACTGAACCCAAGCTTGGAAAAATGACAAAAAGAGAGAAACCAAAACAGACAGATCCACCCATCCTTAGAACACACACACAGAGAGAGAGAGAGAGAGAGAGCAAGAGAGATCTCAAGAACAGGTAGTTTCCAGCAACCTTAGCAGCCTTTGAAATTATCAGGAGCAAAATTGGTTTTGTTTTGTTTTAAAAAGAAACAGAACATAGGTTAGGAGTCTATGGTAAGCTGTCAAGTTTTGTAATTTGGAAGACTGTAGTTTTTTGAGAGGTTTCTTCAGTAGACTTTCCGAAGGGGTTTCGTCATTGTGCTATTTCAGGTAATAATTTTGGGCTCGCTCTCGCTCTCCCCACTCCATGTCGTCTGACTTCATCTATTTTAAAATAACAAGCTGGTGCTGTCATATTCTGTTATCAGCATACTTTCACCATTTATCTGAGTATTCCGTGGGATGACCCACAGGTTGTTCTCATTAGAGGAGGCCTTTCATCTTTTTCAGAATCTTCAAATCAAGATCAGTTAAGCTGAAGTATTTAATCTAGAGCCGTCTGCATTATTTGGGAGGAGATGCTACTTTATGTTCTGTCTGACTAGTGTTAAGAGCAGCATAATTTGTGCAGAGACTCAAAGAGATAGACAGGATGTGCTGCCAATCAGATGGAATACTGTTGTGGTTCCTGGGTTTGAAATGATCACTTAAAAGTCACATCGTGGACTTTTGGCATGACTGCTTCTCTACAGGAGCTTTGGCGAGAAAAACTCTAATGTTTAAAGTAAAAAAAACCCAATTATGTTAATATGAACCACTATGACTGAGATATGTTAACGTTGAAAAATGGTCTACCGACTCAAGATAGTAAATTAGCTAATATACAGGATGTGATGGCTTGTGAATGCTCTTCGCAAGAAATGCTTCTGCTCACTCAGAGATACATATATACAGTCTTTATTTTACATATGTACAAGCAGCCCATTACAATCATGCATCCGAATCCTCCGGCTCAGATTCTGGGAGTGGCTTATGCCAGCTCCTTCTCCAACAGAAAAGGCGGGAAAGTTTCACGTGACGCCTCTGCCCCCTCCTCTTTAACACTCTCCTTTCCTTGGCAGACGGAATAGGCATTGTTTCACTGTCTGTGCCAGAACTTCCTGTGCGGTGTTGAGGCTCTGGTTCAACATCTGTGAGCTGTCCCACCTCCTGGCTTTCCCCTCTTTCCTCAGTCGCCACTTCCTGCCCCCCTCCCTCTGCCTGCCTCTGCTCCTCCCCTGCATTCTCTGGCAACACAGGACTATTATTGTATGCAAGTAACAGACCAGGCATATTATCTGCCTGTTATTTGCCTTATCCATGCTCCCTTCCCAGACCCAGTGGCATAGGAAGGTCAGGTGGTACCCAGTGCAGAAAATTTCTTGTCTCTCCCCCACATTGATTTAAAAATAAATAAATTTTTTTTGCCTGCAAAAATGGTTTGACTTTATTTCATATTTTTTTACAAAGGAATGTGGATTCTGGGCCTCTGATAACAAGTAGGTGACTGTGGACAGATACTTAAATCTACAGGATGGATTGTGTTTTGGCTTGTGTTATTTTATTTATATTTATTTAATAAAATTTATTTTTAAAAACCTGCAGATTGGTTTACCAAAACAAAAAACACCAAAGCAGTAAAATCAAGAAAAATTAACAATCCTACTGAAACACAAAACAAAACAAAAACAACGAAAAACATCCCAATGAAAAGGGAATGCAAGAAAGCAAAGTGACTGTCTAACGAGGCCTTACAAATAGCAGGAGAGAGAAGGCAAGCAAAATGCGAGGGAGATAGTGAAAGATACAGGAAATTGAATGCAGATTTCCAAAGAATAGCAAGGAGAGACAAGAGCGTTGTCTTAAACGAGCTATGCAAAGAAATGGAGGAAAACAATAGAATGGGGAAAACCAGAGATCTGTTCAAGAAAATTGGAGATGTGAAAGGAACTTTTCGTACAAAGATTTCCATAATAAGGGACAAAAGTGGTAAGGACCTAACAGAAGCAGAAGACATCAAGAAGAGGAGGAATTATACCAGAAAGATATGGATGTCTCGTACACCCCAGGTAGTGTGGTTGCTGACCTTGAGCCAGACATCCTGGAGGGTGAAGTCAAATGGGCCTTAGAAAGTATTGCAAATTACAAGGCCAGTGGAAGTGATGGTATTCCAGCTGAACTACAGTGGTACCTTGGGTTAAGTATCTATTTTGTTCTGGAGGTCCGTTCTTAACCTGAAACTGTTCTTAACCTGAAGCACCACTTTAGCAAATGGGGCCTCCCACTGCCGCCGTGCTGCTGGAGCACGATTTCTGTTCTCATCCTGAAGCAAAGTTCTTAACCCGAGGTAATATTTCTGGGTTACCGGAGCCTGTAACCTGAAGCATATGTAACCTGAAGCGTATGTAATCCGAGGTACCACTGTATTAATTTTTTAAAAAAAATAATAATTTTTATTAATTTTAACATATAAATTATAATACATACCACAAAACTTCACCACTTATACAATCTTTTTTGGACTTCCATCAGCACCTCTGATGATCCACCGTTTTAACCACTTCTTAGGCATTTCTTAAATTCATATTGCCTTTAATTATCTTAACTAACCATCCTCCCCTTTATCCATTTTTGCAATAGCTCCAATAATTCTCCTCACAAAACTTCTTGCAAACCTACAAATGTAGTCTGATAATCACAAATACTTTTCAAATAGTCTGTAAATTTACGCCAGTCTTCTGTGAATTTCTGGTCCCGCAGATTTCGAATCCTTCCTGTTAGTTTATCTAGCTCTGCATAGTCCATTAATTTCATCCTCCATTCTTCTTTCATCGGTAATTCTTCTTGCTTCCATTTTTGTGCCAATAATATTCTTGCTGCTGTTGTTGCATATAAAAACAACTTACATTCCTTTCTATTTATATCACTTCCTACAATGCCAGGTAAAAATGCTTCTGGTTTCTTTATAAATGTATATTTCAACATTTTTTTCATCTCATTATATATCATCTCCCAGAAGTTTTTCACCTTTTTACATTCCCACCACATGTGATAAAATGTTCCTTCTTTTTCTTTACATTTCCAACATTTGTTGCTAACTATACATTTTGGCTAATTTAATGGGTGTAATATACCATTTATACATCATTTTCATTACATTTTCTTTTAAGGCATTGCATGCAGTAAATTTTAAACCTTTCCATAATTTTACCCAATCATAGAATCATAGAGTTGGAAGAGACAACAAGGGCCATCGAGTCCAACCCCTGCCAAGCAGGAAACACCATCAGAGCACTCCTGACATATGGTTGTCAAGCCTCTGCTTAAAGACCTCCAAAGAAGGAGACTCCACCACACTCCTTGGCAGCAAATTCCACTGTTGAACAGCTCTTACTGTCAGGAAGTTCTTCCTAATGTTTAGGTGGAATCTTCTTTCTTGTAGTTTGGATCCATTGCTCCGTGTCCGCTTCTCTGGAGCAGCAGAAAACTGTTAGGATAGATTTATTGCTTTATTGTTGGCGTCCAGCACACTTCCCCCTGCGAGCCTCTGCAGGTCGTAAAGCAATTAGCAGCATTGCACAGCGTCCGTGTCGGAAGGGCAGTAAAGACGTCCCACACGTTTCTTCTTTCCTAGTAGCACTTTATTTGCTCAAAAGTAGCATATTTACAGTTCATATACACCATCTGATTGTAGCTGCATTTTGCTCCCTGTTTGCATCCTTCTCTCAGTTGCAGCTGCGTAACTAAACTGCTTTCACTTTTCACTCAGCTTACAGCATTCCAAGCTGCTTTCATCACGTCCTGGCTTACTTCCCTTGTAAGCGCCTCCTCTCAGCCTCGAGACACAGAAGGTTAACCCTTCACTATACCCAACACCCCCTCTTGTCTCGCGCCTGAGGGGAGAATCGACCCTTGGTCGTCCCAAACCCAGACCTTCACAAAACTCCCCAT